TAAACTTAGTTATGAAACACGTGTCATAAATGAGGCCAACAATGCTGCTTTTAGGGAACTCATCGATGGGGAAACGTGGGACGAGATATTAAGTACAGACGACGCTAGTCTGCAATACGGAAAACTTGCAGATATATACACCAAGCACTATAACACTGCCTATCCACTAAAAATCAATCATATTCGCCGTGAGCATGAGCGTTCTAATACTAAACCCTGGATACTACCCTGGCTTGAAGAAGCATGTGCGCGGAAACAAGAAAGTTATCATAGTAAAGTACTTGAACCTACAATGAATAACATAGAGGCCTATAAAAAGCTAAAACTTTTCTGTAAAAAACATGTCAACATTGCCAAACAACGATACTATAAAAAACAATTCGAAAAATACCAGGACTGCTCCAAAAAACAATGGCAAATAATCAACGGTTTACTTGGTAGAAGCAGGAAAACTGAGCAGTTAAGACTCAAAGGTTCGGACGGGTCGATTTTGAGTTCTGAAGATACCGTGGCTGAAAGGTTTAATGACTATTTCTCGAACATTGCTACGAACATCAAAACTCAGATAAGTGCCCGTCAGACCTTTGACCCTGGGGGGTTCCAAGAATATCTGCCCACATCCTGTTCTCAATCAATCTATCTACAGCCTGCCGAAACGATCGAAATTCAAAGAATTATTATTGGTTTGAAGAACAAAGCGACCCTTGACACAAAAATTGAACCACTAAAAGTAGCCAGTTCCAGCGATAGTTTCCTTGCTATATTAGCAAAAGTTATCAACGAATCCTTAAGTACAGGCATATTTCCACAGGCCCTTAAAATTGCCAAAGTAACTCCCATCCATAAAGGAGGCTCTAAACTTGACGTTGAAAATTATAGACCCATCTCTCTCTTAGGTTCCTTCTCAAAAATCTACGAAAAACTGATGCACCGACGTGTCTTAGAATTTCTTAACAAAAATAGTTCTTTATTCGAAAATCAGTATGGTTTCCGTCCAGGAAGGTCCTGTGAACATGCTCTTCTTAATGCACAAAGTACAATTTTACACTCTCTTAGCAAAAACCAAATTTCACTACTACTATTATTAGATTACAGTAAAGCGTTTGACGTCCTGGATCATGCTACACTGCTAAATAAATTACAGCACTACGGCATCCGGGGAATAGCTCTAAAGTGGTTTGAGTCGTACCTAAGTGATAGAAGCCAATATGTAGCAATAAACAATTCACATTCGTCCCACAAGCCTATTGTGCATGGTGTTCCACAAGGGAGCATACTAGGTCCCTTACTTTTCGTCATATACATCAACGATCTTCCCGGTATTTCTAACATGATGGTAAAATTCATACTTTATGCAGATGATGCAAATATCATTATTAACGGTTCCAATGTCCAAGAACTAATGCTAAGGGTCAACCAATTAACGGAAACATTATCACGGTGGGTTAATAGCAACGGATTAGCACTAAATCTAAAAAAGACGTGTTATATGATTTTCTCTAAAAAGCGCATAGAACCATCATTGATTAAAGTACAAATAGAAAATACAGTATTAGAACGTAAAACTGAAGCCCGGTTTCTTGGTGTAATTGTAGATGAAAAGCTTAACTGGAGTAACCACATAAAAGCACTGAGGAGCAAGATGTCAAGATTTATTGGGGTGATGTACAGGATAAAACATAAATTGCCAATGAAGGCCCGTTTACAGATTTTCCAAAGTTTTGTTCAGTCCCATTTAAACTTCTGCTCACTTGTATGGGGATTTGCTTCAAAATCTCTTATAGAATCTCTTTTTGCTAAACAAAAACAAGGCATGAGGGCAGTTATGGCCGGAAATGTGAACTACTACTACAAGGACGGAAAACTGCCAGAGCACACAAAACTAGCATTTAAAGAACACGAGGTCTTAACCGTTCAAGGGGTTATCGTTAAAAACGCACTTATTTTACTGCACAAAGTTCGAAATATGTCTAGTTTGTTACCTAAATCGATTTCAGAACTTTTCCCTCCTAACACACCCAAACAAGGAACGACACACGAACAAAACTTAGACTGGTTATCAATTTACTCACAGACTGACCTGAGATCTAGCATCTTTTATAAAGGCCCAATGCTCGCTATTTCAGAGCATAACACTCGCATTACATGCCCATCCAGTATATTTTCTATCAACATATATAAGAATTCGTCAAAAAAAGTACTACTAGACTTGCAAAGTGCTGGCTGCAACGACGAATGGCCACCATTTTTACTCCACAACCTACCCGGATTACGTAAATCACAAAGAACATAGTCAATAATCACTCAAAACCAAACTCATACAGCTCAAATTAAACAATCTGAATCAGGACAACATTTCAAACCACCTGCCATTCTAACAGCACATTCCTTATTTCACTGCCACATAGCGCATATCTACACTGATAACACACCTAATTGCGGTGAGGCAGCATCATAAAGTTACTATAAATATCAAATATGTTTGCAGATCAGGGCCAGTCGACTCGACCAATAAAAAAAAATTTTAATTGAATAGTTTTAATAGATAACATCACAATTATAATCTGCGTGCCCCTCGGGGATGAATATTTAACTTATTTCAATTATATATTACTTTTGAGTAAACATTGGCTGGTACTACGGACCAGTCCCCCAATCAATCAATCAAATGGGCTAGATATAGGGTAGAGTTCACATGTTCTGTAAATCATAGCTGGTGGATCACATCACTAATTATACGTCACATCACTAATTATACGTCATATGATCTGACCCCTAATAATGGAGGGCCCCCCTTTGTCGTGCAGCCTTTAGTAACACAGACACTTCCCTTGAGAATAACAGTATGGGGACACCAGTGCTTTAAAAGATAACATTATATTTAACTTTAAATGATAACTTATTTCAAGATTGACACAACATCAACAATAAAAAATATTTATGTGGTAGATGTTAATTTTATTCACTAAACATCAGTTCCTGCCTCCGATTTCTCTGTTGCATTACATAATATAACAGTTCACACCAGTAATCACTTACTTGCTTCTAAGTAAGGATATTAACATTTAAAATTCAGGTTCTATAAATAGGTTTATTGAGTATGTTTCTTTAAAGATCTCATTTTAACTTTTTAACTGTTGAACCCTCCTATTAAGTTAAAAGTGTATTTATAAATATTACAAGTAAGCGATTTAAATAAGATTGGTGTGTTCTTTTTTAATGTTTCATTAAATCATGCTGGCATACAGTATGTTGGAAAAAATATTTTTACCACATACAATTCTAGAATTAAAACATGTACTGATTACATTAAGTTTAGTACCATCATTCTGATTCCTGGGAATTCTTTTTAAAAATGTTCTGACCATGGTTATTAAATCTCCAATTATTACGATAATTGCAAGATAATCTTAAAACCCTAAGTTCTTCTTAATGACCTAGTTTAAAAACGTACCTTATCAAACAGTTACCACCAAGACGGAAGAAATGGTGATATGATACATAATCATGTCTATTGTCTATGATCTATTCTATCAGATCATGCAAGATAATGTTGGCCCCCGCGGGTACAACACAACCGTTACTGAAACCAGCCCCAGTTAGAAAACGGGTAACACGACATCTGTCCGAAAGCGACATCTGTCCGAATCAGAAAATATGTTATTTGGACAATAGTTTATGTCGGATCCTACCGTACGATTTTCTTAAAACTTTCCATAAAGTATGGTGGTTATAGGACGAATAATATGTGTAAGTTTGAAGAATTTTCAAGAAAATCGTATCGTTGGATCTCCAGATATATGCTTTGGAACCACTGAGTACCACCGAATTGGATATATTTTTTGCGGTTAAGGTAATATCTTAAACTTGGCTCATAGAAACTCGCTCAAACTTACACATATTATTCGTCATATAACCACCATACTTTATGGAAAGTTTTAAGAAAATCGTACGGTAGGATCCGACATAAACTATTGTCCAAATAACATATTTTCTGATTCGGACAGATGTCGCTTTCGGACAGATGTCGCCCAATCTAGAAAACGTGACCACGGTATCCATGGTTACCTCATATGTTAAGTTTGAGCAATCTTTCACAATCTAGGTGCTACGATGACAGCAATCTAAGACAATGGTTGAATTGGAATTGCAGCAACTAGCATTGGAATGGAATATTAGGGGAGATTGGTTATTAAATATGAACCATTAGTAATACTTCACATTTATCTGACTTATGGGTAGTGCCCAGAGATAGTTATTGGTTCTCAACCCTCTGCTAGACTGTAGGGATACAGGTGGGAGCGAGTGCCCTACCGAATCTGAATTGTCGTTAACTTGTCACTCACACGACACATGACTTCCGCCACCTAAACAATACAAATACAGGGCCCCCATTGGTTGTTGGGATTCCTCGCTGGTCTCTGATTGGCTGAGAGTTGTGTCACGTGACACCACGTGACCCGTTAGGGAGAATTCATTAAAATCGGTGGTATTGTGGGCCTGATGTAAGTATTGTGAGCGTGCGCTTGAGTACACAGAACTTGCAGCGGACCTCGCGGTAACAGCTACACTTCATATTTTATAGAGTCCTACAATTAATACAAGAAAATTAGATATATGTAGATTGTACACTGTACAGTAATGTGAGCTAAAATAGATCTAGTCTAGTTTATGAAAACATTATTTTTAACTTAAATTTCCACAAATTCTGATTTTAATTCCAACTCCACAATAAAAAATGTTTATGACGGCCTGTTTTTTTCTTCTTCAGCGAACTCAGAATTGTCAGATAAGACACAATATCATTGCACGAGAAAAGACGCACAACCACAGTCTAGACTACTTCTTCTAGATTATTCGATATATTCATTGTATTACGAGCCAATGTTTTTAATCCATCCTATCAAACCGACTTTTTCTGTTTTCTTATCCATTGTCTTGAGCCTATGTTTTCATTAAACTGTTTCAATTGCAAATTATCAATTAAAAATGAGACTGACCGACGCAAGTTCTTCTGTCTTCCAGGAGTTCGTACCCGTCTGTACAGCCACACTGGTAGTCTCTCTCTCCTACTCTCTGACAAAGCTGAGGAGGAGAGAAGGGTTAATACTTTTAACACAAATAGCTACAAGTAACTCTGCAAAATGATGTAATGATCGTGTTTTAGTGGAGCTCACTTTGTGGAGCTCACTTTGTGGAGCTCACTTTGTGGAGCTCACTTTGTGGAGCTCACTTTGTGGAGCTCACTTTGTGGAGTTCACTTTGTGGAGCTCACTTTGTGGAGCTCACTTTGTGGACCTCACTTTGTGGACCTCACTTTGTGGACCTCACTTTGTGGACCTCACTTTGTGGACCTCACTTTGTGGACCTCACTTTGTGGACCTCACTTTGTGGAGCAACGAGATAAAGCACCTAACATCTCAGACGTGATGGGGAGGCACACGACGTTTCATTTACAGAAGAATTTATTTAACTTAAAAGAAGCGTTGATAGTTGTGTTTTAAACACCATTTATTTAAATTAATTTGTATTATTACTATCATAAATGCAATGACTAATGATTCATCTCTCCCCAGTCCCCGAACAACAGCGTTTAGAAAATTCATTTTAAAAGATCTAATAAACAGTTTCCAATAAATTAAGTTCACAAATGAAATGAAATGAAATGAAATGAGGTATTTATATCCCGCTCATATGATTAACCAACAACACAAGGAAGGTGGTTAACCATGTCAGAGCGGCTGACTGTGAGTGATGTGAGCAAATGTGTAAAAGTGAACATAAGTATAACTCATCACAAGGCAAAGACAAAATTAAAACATCTTTTATTGTAAACCACACTAAACTTAATAGAGGCAGAAACCATACAATACATGTAGGTATAATAAAGGTAAGAACAGTTACACAATCAATCAAGAAAGAAACAGATCCTAGAGAGGTAGAAATCAAGACATCAATCTCATATTAAATAGTAAACTCGCCTGATCGCAGTTGTTGTGAGATTTCAGACAGGGATCAATGGGCACACAGGTGCTCCCATCCCCGTCAAGCTCAAACTTATCAATACAGCTACATCTATAGCTTCCCTCGCGGTTGTTGCACCTGGAATGGCATCTCGGTCAGTGGAATGTGGTGGAATGTGGGGTTATATATTTAATTGGAGTTACAGTTAAGTTGGGTCACAGTTGCGTTCAGGTATGTGTCGCACGAGTAGACTGGTATAAAACGGATAGATTGATGTAGTTGAATGATTTAATGCATAAATTATATGCCGTTAGTTTTTTATTATAATATTATAATTTATGGCAGTCAAAAGTTTTGTGAATTGAAGTTAAAAGCTTGATTATTTTATTTTGAATTCAATATCAACGCATCACATCCACAGGATTACACAGGACTCAACACCCATGTAAATATCTGCATAAGCACAGTATAATTTGAACATCCCCAATTCCCCTGATTTGACCACCTCCTCGCACTCCACATCGTGTTCTAAATCCTTCTAAACCTGATTTAACTTAAAAGACCGGAACTGAGTCAGATCAGATGATTACCCGGGCGTGATAAGGAGAATTAGGAGGTGTAATAAGAAGATGTTACGGATGATATTTAGTGAGGCCGCTATATTTAACACATCTGGAGCTCTTAGAAAGAGAGCCTGAATGTTGTGAATGTTGGGGGATATTTTGAGATTTTAGCGGACAGCAAGTGCTGTGACAGGAAACGTTTAGATTTTAGTTCAGCCAGCGTTTGGTTACATTAAACTTTCTGGGGAAATATTACGCTCTAGAAACTATGGTATAACTGTTCATATATGAATTATGAACGGAGGATAAAAACACAATCTTATCTATTTCAAGAACTCTGGGTTTTAGGCACAATAAAATCTCTATGCGCAATACAAGGCCCTTAGAGCCTTAGATAGTGTTCATTTGATAACAGTTTTAACGAATTCCATAATCTATTATTATTAACGACTATTAATATGATATTCGGTATTAAAGCTAGAGTCTAGACAAGACATATAAGTGATACGAAAAGTTTGTTTAGCAGGAGCTTTCAAAATACATGAGTCATGACGTGTAAAACAGACATGACAATATGGATAAGCAGTAATCTGTCAATTTTAAATATGCGGTTTAATTTAGCTAGAAGCGTCATTATATAAGTTTATCAGGTTTATCAAGTTTATTGAACCAATTTAACTTAAATTGTGTTGAAACTGTCGCGACGAGTATACAGGGAGATTCAGGTTACAGTCTGAGTTTTAGTTTTATTCTCTATTTATTTAATTATGAATTATATTATAGCAGGATATCAGTAAACAGTAAACCCTCTCCCTGTCTACTCGTCGCGACAGTTTCAACACATGGTATATTGTCATGCACACGTTTTAAATTTACTGGTTAACACCACGTGCACCAATTGGTCGTGCACCTCCGATAATACCATTGTTACTGGTTCTCCACCAATAAGGAGACAATGTAGGAACCAGGTATCCAATCAGGCGTTAGGATCAACGTCACGTGGTTTGCGTTTCAAGAGTTTTATTGCTATTATTATTATTTGCAGATATATAACAGAAGGCTCACGCCTGTCTATTGTCCAGCGGTTCAGTATCAATACAATTTGAGACAGTGTAGGTTTGGAAGGGCAAAATTATAAAAATAAAATTTGAGGCAATTTGAGATTAATGAAAATTTAAAATCTACAACTAACACATGGTCATGAACAGATTAATTTAACATTGAATTTTAACGTTTCTCCATCTCTAGAAAGTCCCCGTGGTTTCCTCAGTTTTACCTTTCATTGTCACGGTTACTTATTATAAATTAATATTTGCAGCACCACACTTTGAACCAGCTCATAACAAGACAAACATTACCGAACACACATATTTATGAGAATATGAGGTCCCGTATTTTGCTGAATAAGCATCTCCTGAAAGTTAATGAAACTCATAAAATGCTCGTAAACCGCTCACCAATCTACAGTTTATGAACCCGCCAAGTTCTAGGATTGGATTGCAAGTTAGTGGTTATATATAATATACACATATGTATTATATACTAGATATATATTATCTATAGCTATATATATATTATATAGATCGATATTACAAAGTGCTTATTTACAGTCCGAGAAAATGAAGTTGGTAGTACGAGCTCGTTAAACACACTTTTTTTTTTATTTTTTTTTTTAGAGAGGCTGGGCCTGGTTGGCCCACGAGAGGATAGCATATGAATGCTTTGCCTACCTCTGGGGTATGGCAGTCCTGTGGGAGGATGCCAGTGAATGTGTACACACTGTACACATTCACTGTACTAATATATAGAACACAGTCATTTGTGGAGTAGATCTGTGCTCAGGGTTCTCTTAACCAGTGTTAACAGTAGGAAATAGGATATTTAACTACTCGGGCTAGACACTCATTTTAGGTTAGGATCACAAGGATCGGTTCATGGATCATTGCTCTGAATGTGAACAAGGAAGATAAGGAAGCCAGGGTTGTCATAGAAACGATGGAATATTTTAGATCTCCCAGCAGAGGTCTGTTTGTGGTTATCAGGTTGACAGCTTCCCGTAACCATGACAACATATCTGACGTGTCACGTGATTTAACCCTGAGAACATTCCATAATTTTTACTCCACACAGGTTACCAACCAACTCTGGTACACTCTAATAATGTTTCGACGATCCTCATTTGAGCAGGGATTTTCTTCTCCCACTGAATAGTTAATCCCGGGTGGACTCTGACTCCCTAAACGGCCAGGCTAACTCCACCAGACCTCTCCTGCCACTGTTCACGTCACATGATTGGTTCTCTGTCTAACTCACCCGGAGAGCGTGTCTGACTCTCAGAATTACTACTCCGTCAATTACCACCGGGGTCCCACAAGGCCCTGAACTTGGCCCACCCTGGTTCATATCAGGAAATTGTTAGATTGAGTTGAAGAACCACGAGATCTAACCTGTGCAGTAAAACCGTCACTATTTATACAATATGTAATTATGTTGCGCGCACTATGATAGCTGGTGGTAGAGGTGAACTCTACAGCGCACACTATGATAGCTGGTGCCTCTCGGCCGTCCATTTAGAAGACACTTAACCACAAATAAAGCATCTTCCGGGAGCGATTATTCAATAATCGTAAGTAACAAGGCTAAACGAGCGGCCATTGTGGAGAAAGGAGGGATTGTTACTTATGTGGACTTAGCTACTTTGTGCTGAGCAGTGATTTGCAATCTGACAAAGGGAGAGTGCTCCAGTTAACATCTAACTACAGTGAAGCGTACCTGGTCCTTTCTGTTAAATTGGTCGGAAGTTTGCATAAAATTGCCGGGATGCACTGGGTAAGTTGATCTGTATCTTGGTAATTGTGGAGGGTTGAATGAAATGTGCTTAGCATGACAATAGCTGGAAATGTCGTTATGTGTCAGCAGCTCCCTGCAACACACTACAAGTACTATATATCTAGAATAGTCCTCTTGGGCTTTTCCAACTGGTGTTGGGGTAATTAGAATGAGGTAATTAGCTTTATTGTGTGCACGTGGAAAATGGGGCCAGGTTTAGGGCCAAGGTCAACTTCACATCCATGGTATGTATCTATCGGGACGTGTGCTCACAAGTCTTTAGTGAATAGTTAGAGAGAATGAAGTTGAGGATGAGGTTGACTTGCCATTGTGAAAATGAAAGGAATGAAGTTGATGATGGAGTTGACTACACTAAGGAGTAAAGTGTCTTACCTGGTAATATAAGAGGGGAAGCGACCGTGAACTACTTAGTTAAATGTAAATGAAAGTAAATCAATCAGCGGTTTACCCTGTCTGATGAAACACGCACAGAATGGCTGATGCGGCTGAATAGTTCTCGATACAGACATGACTGCAGATCATAGTAGATAAGTAGTCGGGAAGTCCCGTTGTAATCATATTTCCTCCCAAAATACCGTGCAGTCGGCGTATGCTTTAGTGTTCTGGGAAACGGCCTGGACCGCATACTATTTCCTTCGACCTAGACGATCCACTTGACTGCCCTGAGCCCTCCAAGTCCCCAAATCCCAATTTTCGGACTTTTCATCGCTGAGCTATTATGAGGATAAACTCCGATTTACTGTGCCCGATATCTATCCAATATCCAACAGGAGATCGAGATACAATCTAATTGCTTTGTTTAAAATGCCGGCTCAAGTAATCAGGTACCATCTTAATAAGTTAATAACCCAGTTTACCAATTAGCCTGAACAATGTACTTCCCGAGGGTCCCCCATTTTCCATTTAACTGCACAGAAATCGATTAAAGTCCGAAAATCAGGTGAACGTTAAACCATTGTGCACCACTCATTACATGGCCGTGTTGCCGGGGAAACGCAGGGTGACCCCACGTGACCACGTACTGGCAAGCAATCAAGTGGACGGGGTAAACAGGTATTAGCTTTTCCCAAGGACAGGATTAACACCACGTAATACCCAGATACTCACAGTTCAGATGAATTAACTTACTCTCTCTCTCTCTCGCTCGATGGTGTGTGCCCCCGGTACAAAGGTTGTTGCAGACCTACCTGGATCTAAATAGTAGACCGTCATCATCGGAGAGTTGGACTGGACCCAAACTTAATTCCACACAACCACATGTCAGTTCGTTAGAAGTCTGAGTTTTGTTGAGAGCAACATGAAACAACTGTGTCGGAGACAAAACGTCAAATGAAACACGACTATTACCAGCTATAAACACGACTAATGAAAAGAAGTTTAAGGCTCAAAAGTTGACATTTGAATAAATATGTTTCACGGAACAAGTTTTATAAATACTGAAGAGAGATCGAGTGTAGATGATCTGGGGAGGTACCACAATGGCAAACCATGATTCGATTAATTGAGAGGTATTCGTATATTAATTCAGATCGTTGTTTCATAGTTTATTAGATCGGACTTCCGCGATTGGACATGCCCGAGCATGCCCGAAAGACACCTTTCAAAAAAAATTTGCCCCGGGTACCTTTTGGTACCCAGGGCCAGGGGCCATAAGTCACTGTCAGATTTCTATTGACATGCAATTGCGCTCTCCAAATTATTAAATAAGTGTTCGGGTTCCCTTTATAAACTGAAGGAGCGAGCCGCACATTTGATGAATATGAATGTTCATGAAATTCCAGTGAGCCGCTTTTCCCACAAATCCGTGATCAACGCACTGGTTCTTGGCCATCAACAAGGACTGATAAAATGTTCATGGTATTTTTCACATCATGGGTTAGACTGCCTTCCTAGACGAATTCCTAGAATCTTAAGATAAGAGCCTTTATCATTAACAGATTCCCCGTTAATTGCAGATAAGACACGGCAACATTTTCCAGCAGAACACCTGTTTTAATAACGCCTAGACTTGCCAATTATTTAGAGAACACCATCTGTTTTAATTAAATCATGAACATAATACCCTATCAACGCCTCATACTTAAATGACAGACGAAACAAATGATGAAGTACATTTTGTTATCATTAAGAGTTCCTGCAGTAATTCTAACTGGCAGACAGCTGGAACAACAACAAATCATGTATAAGATCACTGCACTGGAGTGATTTTGCAGACTGCTCTAAACACGCATGTTTTCTTTCTTTTTTCTTTCAACCACACGGATCACGTCATGACAGCCGGAACACAATTTATTACTCTCTTTCTTTTGGGAACTCACCAACATAGCATGCTTCACAGCCAGAAAACAAGATCAGTGATCCTGGATCACCAAATTTTTGTGGGAGCCTGGAATTTGGCTGAAACCAACACTGATACTCTCAAACCAAATAAGTTACACGGTGTGCATGATATCTTATTAGCTGAGGTTGGAGCCCGCTAACATGCTTGGTCTCTCATACATCCAGGAAGTAAGCAGCAAGATATCCTGATGAGTGTGGGAGTGATTGGAGCGCGGCGTGGCAAAGGGGCGAATATTATCGGGGATTTAGTGTGTACGTGTGTGTGTGTGTGTGTGTGTGTGTGTGTGTATGTCGTTCACAACATTGAGCTTACCAGTGAGTTAGTCGACTGAGATCATTAGACTTCTAGGAGCATGCGTATATGTGTGTGTGAGAGTGGGTGTGAGTTCACCAAAGTAATCACCTCTTCGTTCTACACATGACATGTAACATGTAATACATACCTTTTACTGGGAGCCTTTTTACCCTAATTGTTTATATTACCAGATTAATGACGGTGTCCTGTATTGATTGTCTACATGTTTACATTATTAATGAGGCCCTGGCTGATATCCAATCTTTAATGATAATATGTCAGATGTCTACACCGTATTAATGGTTTTCTTACACACTCAGTAAATTATTTTTCTGTGTGTACTGGGTAAGAATGTACACACAACTTTGCTTGTAAAAACCACAACACCCCTGTCATTGTTTACTTTGATAACCATAATGAATCAAACACCCACCGCAGACGGTTGCCATGGGAACGACACTTGTTACTCCACGTGCAAAAAAATACATGATGAACAATTCATTTTGAGCAATGTTTGCTTTTTATACGGATCTTTGAGGTTATGACACAACGAGAAAACCTTTCAGCTATGTACACACGATGTACACACAAAAAGTTATGTATTTTTTTCCAGAGAACAATGACATATTTATTATGCAGCTCTTAACCATGAAGAATTTTAATAACATCTGAATATATTGCATAGAATTTCTGCTATGAATAATAAACACTTGCATGACAGTTTTCAGCATTCATTAGTAAGATATCCATTGAGCCGTGCCCATTAGTATTGATTGGAACTTGACACAGCGCTTCAAGAGCGCTTTTAAAGTCATTTTCGATAAATAGAAATGTGTCAATTCATGTAATGATTTCGTAACATTCACAACGTTTTCAAGCGCTTCTCTACAGGAAAACGCGGGGCGCTGTCAAGTTGTTTCCAATTTCAAGAGAAGGGTGGTGTCAAAGTTAAAAGTTGAGGTAACATCCAGACAGATGACAAGTGTTAAATTGTTCGTAATTAAGAGTGTTAATTGGCCAGCGAGTAGAGCCCCGCTTTGCTTGACTTGAACAGAGCAATGAGTATTAGATTAGGATACCTAAAAAGTTGGTAAATTATTTAAAATTACATAGTTAAATGCTTTAAATTCTTGCAAATATGCAGTAAACGGGCAGTCCCACACCACCGACGGTTTTGCTGCAATTTATCTCAGAAGCGCATTTACAAATATGGGTTCATAATTCACGAATCATTGAACAAGTCCATATAATGCCCCAGAATCATTTAGTAAGTCAGAAGAAAAGTCAGACATGAAGTTGAGAGACATGATCTGAACACATGTTATATAGTCAGATTATTACGAGGCCTACTGGTTACAACTCATATTATCATTACGAGCTATTAAGTAGTTCGGTTAGAAGTTTAATATGAAAACCCAAGACTAGACCCGTATCTAATGATATTAGCAATCAGCTTTAAATAGAACACCAACCTTATAACTAGACTTTGTTAGAAGACTAAAGGTCCTGATAATCTACTTACAGCTGATACAGTCTAGAATTTGGTTTAAGTTAATTACTAATATTACGAGACATAAATCATGTGCACTCCCCCATTACAATCCAGTCTGTTCTGTTATTATAACTACAGAACGGTCACTGTACGATTTTAGAAAATATCCCCAGTGAAATTGACATTTCTATGTAACCAACCAATAGAGGATTATATGAATATTCCTGACACCAATCAAATTTGGAAATGTACCTACATGGTGTTTCAAGACTCGTGTCCAAATTTTGACTTTAAAATCTAAAAAATAGGTCAAACAGTATGTGCCGGGTGCCCCCCCCCCCCCCCCTTGTGCCCTCCTATGTGTGCCCCGGCCCCCACTGATCACAAGCTGTGCCCTTAGATCTCACACATCTGGTTCTCACGTCAAAATCAACCTTTTAACCATAAGCTTGTAAGCTGCCATTTATATTTATAAAAGCGAATAATATATATTTATATTTGTCCGTAACTTAAGGGGGCAGGGGGGGTCTTTATGAAATTTCTCTCGAAATTGATTTTATAGCTGTTTTTTACTTTATTTTGAAAATCTTCGACCTGGAAAAATCGTCAAAAAAAAGAGGTCCAAGATTTTCAAAATGAAATAAAAAATTTTTAAAGGCCTATCTCAAAATTCTAAAAAGAGTAAAAGTTTCTAAATGGTCCTTAGAACATATCCTGAAAGTTTCAAGGTGATTGCTCAAAAAATGTAGGAGGAGATAGATTTTTAGACTCGATTTTCAGGGCGCGCGATTGAAAATCGCTCGCGCAATACAATTACACATGAGCGCTGACCTTTGACCGGCAATAATTTCGGCTAGGGACAATATTTTTCCATGGGACCAAAAGTAGCAGATAGATATCACTCCCCTCTATTAGAAACAGCTATAAAATCAATTTCGAGAGAAATTTCATAAAGACCCCCCCCCTCACACCAAAGAAAGTGTCACAAGATACTACAGATAAGCATTTAACTCGTGATTTTAAGTGCTCCAAAGACGTATATATAATATCTTTAGCCCCTTAACATCAGGAACTGAATATGAGACTGCAATATAATGAAATTTGACTGACAAGTCAGTGAAACGATTTGACAAATTTTGATTGTGATATCGCTTAAAAATGTGAAGAACTTCAACAATCGTCAAAAAATGAAAACACTTACACTTGGTCACATTTTCTTGGGATAAGCTCGCACTCGTCTATGTCAATACACTTGTTCCTGAAATGTTGACAGTTATTTAAAAAAACAGTCAGACATAAAAATAGAATAAGGAAATCAAAAGATCTGCAGGAAACTTATAATCAATAATCGTAAACTTGCCAAGACATTAAAAATAACTGCTCAAGTTAAAAAACAGAGCTAAGGTAACATAAAATAGACATGACAGCCTCACCTTGGACTTCCTATTTCGTAGCCTTCATAGCAACTACACTCGTGGCCTCCCTCGAAGTTGTGACAGTTCTGATCACAGCTGGACTCGTCATAACACTCGTCCACATCACTACAGGACCGGTCATCAGGGTCCAGTTCATATCCGGTATCACAATCACAGTGGTAACTGGGGGGAGGGCGTTTATTTAATAATACTTAAAACTTCAAGTCACTGTGATAGAGATTAGAGATGTTAATAGTTAAGATAATATGGGTCACAGCGGTGGTTTTGTAGAGTATTCGTTATTGAAGCTATAAATACATTAAAAGGAGAAGAAGAAGCGATCACATATAGCCGCGTTTTCACATTTATCGTGAGGTTTTGATGGCTGACCCAGTTAACTTGGTCAGAACGTGAGGCAGATGATTGACTCAGCTAGGATCAGAAAAGAGAGTGATTGATAAGATCTTAATTGTTAGCAGCAGTTGCAGCTCTGTTTTGTACGTGATTTGTAAATGTACGTGGTCATGTCTGAGCTGTGTTTATAGTCCTAATCTTATCATATTATCATGTATTTCATTATATTATGTGAACATTGAACATAAAGCAACTTGATCAAAGCAGCCCTTGAGCTCAATACGATAACTATTAATAATGGTCACATCATAATGTTACATACATAATATAATATTCAATGTGCCATATTTAATTATCAAAACCAAAGTTGTGTTTTAAAACTATTTAAAACCATATTAATATATTCATCACATGCCAGGCTCTAGGGCTAGGACATTGTTTGTCCTCGCCATATCACAGGATCAATTAAAAGGTCTACTAAGTACTAATAGCACTAATAGTCTACGAATAGCACCCAAAAGGAGAGTAAGTCTGTGAAAATCATCTTGTTGTCTACCACACAACCCAAACCCATCGCCGAAAGACACTTCACACACATTGCATATATTGTGCTAAGCATACATAATCTCCGCTCCATGATAACAAAGGTTATGCAGGCCCCTCTGATGAAGTGTGACGGCCCCACGTGGCAGACTGACGGGACCACTATCAGGTCTAATTTGGAAGGGATTTATTGAGATGAGTGTGGAGTTGAAGACCTTCTCACCTTCTGGATCCTGCCTTAGTTATGTGACCTATGTCATGTTGAATACATTTAACATTACTGGTGGTCACTTATATCAGGGGCCATATGGCTGGCCAATTAAGACATTTGCAGCGCCATATATTTGAGATGCTGGCTCTTCCTCGACTGCGGTTCGTCGTTTAGCAGGCAGGGTGATTAATTAAATCAATAACTTATCATTACACTTAATTGGGTGCTTGCTGCAACAAATCTCGACAGACTGTATAAAATGTGGAGTGTTATTGGTGATAACCTAATACCGTCTTTAACATCTCTCCTACTTACAGGTTACTCTTAATATGTTCCAGCCGATGTTGGCTACGGATCACCAACTCTCTTTACTAATCTAGTTTATTGGGGAATTACTTTTTGCTTCACTGGATTTGCAACGAAACCCGAGACGATTACCAAAAAAAGGGAGTTTTAACAAATTTGGTACACCCTGTGTAGATTATCTTGAACCTTAATTCAATCAGTTACCATGGAAACGCTCTTTGTAGATCATACATGGGTACAGAGTGTCAAATTAAATTTGAAAGAGTAATCACATATGGCTCTAAGACGGTAGGATACCAGATTCAGGGTTTTGAATTGCAGAGTGTGTTTATATTAGTGTAAGTGGTACACAAAGTGTGCTGATTTTTATTATGCAGAGAAAAACACTTTGAGAGCTCAGACGAATCATTAATTCAATAATAAATCATTGTGAGTCTGACATGGTAATTTTGGCGGGGTTTTTAGAGATAGATCTAAGGAGTGTGACACAGAAAGTGCTCGTAAAATTATCACCAAATTAGTGAACATCCTGAGTGCTAGAAATGGCTGAGTATTGGTGAATTGGGTCGTGACATGACGTGCTACCAGAGATCATGATTATATTATCATGAAATGTAAACATCCAGCCAGGATGTAAGAGTATCATCATGGGAAAGTAGGTGATATCATCGGTAATAACATCATGTATTTAAAGAAATCTTATATAATTGCTAATTTCCAATGTTTATTTAAGGTTCTCTGTGCACAAGTTAAAAGTTTAACTGTCCCGATAATGATATTGTTGATAAGATGCTAGATTCAATAAAAGCTCATCTACACAAAAACTCCAAATAGTAACCAAATTAATTTCACGTTACAGTGTGCAAGTAAAGAAAACATTGAATTACAATCTTTACACACACACACACACACACTGCAATGTGTGTGTTTCTGAAGGTGTGAAAGAAGCATCCTATCACTCCAGCGTGGCCGGGTAAACATCATCCAGGGGTGTTTGAAGTTGCATATTTTATAAGGGCCCCGCATCTAATTCTCAACTGCATGTTGGCGGTAAAACTTGTCCGGGGGTCAAATCGTTCAAAATAGAATAATAAAATAAATATTGATACTTTTCCCCCAGTAAAACGAAAGCGTACCATGGCTACAAGGCAAACATGAGTGGTCACTACTCTCTCTCTACCTCGTCTTTTGGCCGGCTTGTTTGGCAACCCACCATGTCCCGCACAGATCACAGTAGACGGAAACTGCCCCGCCACTTTACACGTATCTCTAGCAACATGGCAACAAAACGTATCACCGTGACAGGGTATGTTCTCCAGAAATGAGCTCTGCATGAAGTACACATCTTTGTGGCGGAAACTAGAGGCTTCAACAACAAAAAAATCATTTTAAAACCCCTTGAAAAAAAAAATCATTTTAACACCCCTTGATCGAGCTTGACTTAATACGTCAAGGAACCATCCATCTCAAGTCTTCTAACACGCTAATTCCCTTGATTTCTTCTGACATTGGTTCAAGTCTCATTATTTTGAGTAGAAGCAGCGATAAAAGATGTAAGCATGTTAATCAGAAAGCTAAATGAAAGACACAAGCTGAGCTTAACGTACACAAGCTCCCGGACTTACCCCCACGTTGTGTTGTTCCCCCTTTTTATTCTGAAACACTTACGGGTAACTTACGGGTAACTTACATGAGACTTACAGGTAACTTACGGGTAACTTACGGGTAACTTACGGGTAACTTACGGGTAACTTACGGGTTACTTACATGTATTCCCGAGGTCACTGTCACACGAAAAATATGTTAACTTTGTCACAGATGTTAACTGTGTTTTAAGACGTTCTCGTTAATGCTAACACTATGTTTAAACGCATAAAAGCGGGACTGACCTGCCCCTGTCGTTGACGCAGCGATGTTCACATTCTCCGGCCACATCTGGATCTGAACACTCGTCAATGTCCTGACATCTCGTATCATCAATCAATTCGTATCCTGAATGTTACAGAGTTTATATTATATTGTGGGCGTTGGGAGATTTGGAGGAACAGGGTGTCTTGTTCGTGAGGATTTGTTTAAATATTTTCCATTATTTTTGTCAGTCGAATGAGACCTTAAATCAATTCAATGTATCAAAGCACGCAGTGAAATTAATTGGATTCGGCTTATTTTCTTTAGCTTATTAAGTTAATGATAAAAACATTATGTTCCGAGTCACGACTCACGAGTGTCAATTCAGTTACAGAAAAAAAATCTTTTATTTACCGCACATTATCAAAGCAGTTATGCTTGGTATAAAGGCCCCGAGGCCCTGTAAATCGAGGTCTAACTGTATTAAATATACTATTTTAATGAAAATTGAAAATATTTTTACTGTCACCGAGAAGGCGTTATTCAATTTCAAGTCCGACCATAAACATTTTCAACTTTTAACCATCGTTAAAAAAACCAACACCAATTTTCGGTAAATATTTTCCAATTAAGTTGAACAAAATGATTATCATTTAATTGATTACTAATTAGATTACTAATTAACTAACCTGGATTACACCGGCACTCATGTTTCCCAGCCTCTAAATCAATACAAACGTGGTCACAACCTCCGTTATTCTCTTCACAGTTCTTTATTTCTGAAGAAAAATAGGGTAAAAATGTTGTAGGTACGATTATGGGAAGATAGGTGAGAAAGTAGCGGAAAAGGTTAAAAATAAGTCGTAATGTTCAGTATGGAGCATCACGGATCTCTGTTAAAAGCCTTGATGATCCCTACTGAACAATGTTTAAAAGTCACGCTCGGCCTTACGAGATCTATAAAAATAAGTTGAAAAAGGGGCAGGAATTTCTGTAGTTCTGAGATTTGTTTACAGTAGTCACAGTTGTTACACAACTGATCGTCCGGCCTACTCATTAGGAAGTGAAATTATTTTCCCACGCTCAACTCTGTTGGAACGTTAAGTTAATGGTGTACAGTTGCACCGACTGCACACTAAATTTAGGTGCAACGATTCAATTTTACTCTTATCCGAACATCACCAAAGTCATCAGATCTGTGGTCAGCTAAAAATAAATGAGCAAATGAGCTAAAAATAAATGAGCACAATCTTATCTGAGTTTGAGTTTGTGATAAGAGATGAAGACTACTGAAATGCAAATTATAATATGCAGGTAAAGCATGAAGATGTCGTTGGTAGAAGGTGTCTTTGGTTGAAGGTGTTCTTGCTCGGTCACCTTTTTATTGGAACAAGCTGTTTGTAACTACTAGAGTCCACTTTGATGAAATTATAAGATATAATTCTGTATTTATGGCATATATAATAATCATACGTAATGGGGAACCATCAGAGCGGTATAATTTTTCCGAATTGTATTTATTTTCCACAAAATCCCGGCCAACTTGACTTTAAATGCAATAAGTTAGCGGTTAAATTCCTTCAGCCGTTCTTTACAGTGGCAAAGGCAGAAAATCCAATTCACAGCAGAACAACATCCTTTAGCATTATGACAGATTTCGGTTATAGTATTCTCAAGTTATCATATCAAAGGCTTAATTATTATGATAACTTGAGGTGACATTATATATTCTTTCGAAGTGAAATGACCTAAATCCGATCACGTGATCACACTACAACGTCAAGCACTTTAGTCAATATCATAGGTTTTAAGGTTTTGATATTTAACCTCACTAATGATAATATATTAATATACCATTTAAACATCAATAAGCCTTTCAAATCTGGTCGAATTAAAACCCTCCCGATCTCACTAAACCATGAAACTATAAAGCAGTTTCACCTGTCGGCGGTAATATACGTTGTTTCGTTTTCAAAACCAGGGTCACCCTCCAAAAATGAGCACGAATGTACGCTCACTAGTACATAATACTGTATCCGTTGCTGCCCCCTTCACCTCAGGGCTCAATTATGTGGTGGACCAATTTTCCTAACAACCCACACGTGCTACTGCGCATCGTCATAACTATCTTAGATTTTCAAATTAGTTACGGGGCAGGCGGACGTTATGGGTATCGATTACGTTAATAGAGGGGAACTATGCTGGTGAAACTTGATACATACTTAAAATTGTTGGGAAGAATGTTTAAAATGCAGGGATTATTGTTAGTACTCTAAACGTGACCTGCTTAATTTGGTAACTGAACTTGTGAGCTAGCCGGCTAAGCCGGCTTAGCCAGCCGATTGAAATTGCCAGCTTAGCCAGCCGATTGCCATCGGCTAGCCGATCGGCTAACACATTTTCAGCAGTTATCACTTATCTCTACTTCAGGCCGGGAATCTAGACGGCATGTAACAAATTATACCATGATCGACTTTAGATATAAATTTCATAAATTTCAGAACCGTCAGACGGATCGTCTTAAAGACGAAATTAAAGTATATGAGGCCTTGCAATTGCAGTGCCCTAAAAACTTTCTGTCCAAGATGGACACTCTTAGATTTTGGAAATGTCGTAGTGATACATTGCCCCTTCTTTCAAAATTAGCATGCGCTATATTTTAGGTTCCTGCATCCGCTGCTGATGTGGAAAGAACATGGTCAGCAGCAGGGCTGACTGTAAACAAGAGGAGATCAAAGATCTCATCAGACAATTTAAAAGCCATTATGCTTATTAATCGACAATCGTAACAGAGATCTTTTGTTAAGTTTCATAAGTAAATTAGAGATTGACTCTGACCAGTGAGAATTTCCTAACTTATTATTGACTAACTTATTATTATTGAAGTTATGAAATTGTATCACTTGTTACCTTCCATTTCAAGTTTTGCCCTTAAAGTCGACATAAAGTATAAAGAAACATAAAGTATAAGCCAATAAATTTTAATACAAAATAGTAATATAAGCAAAATAAAAATTTTTGGTACAATATCTGATATTAGGATCTGGTAATCCCATTCCCAGTTTTAGCCGGCTTAGCCGGCTAGCCAGCCGATTTTTTCTCTTAGCCAGCCGATTGCCGTCGGCTAGCCGGCTCACGGCGCTAACTGAACTCCCAAGATGGGCTAGCTACTTTTAGTCTATACTACTTGTAGTGCTATAGTATAGAACTATACAGAATTTAATGATCTCGTAAAGAGGATGTTTCCCGGGATTAGCGTTATGACCAGAGCAAAATGGTGTGCGAATGCAGAGAATTTATAGTTCACCAATTATAGTCCCTCCTTATAGAACAAATTGAATGAATATTCGGAAATATATTCATAGTGAACCATAATGTAACTGAAAATTATTCCTGGGCTTGCGGTTTTTAGAAATTACGATCAAAATTACAACCATTTTAATATTCGTTATTTTGAGATGCACTGACCTTCAATACCGATTAAGAACATAATATGATCCAATTAACTGATTAGCATTAACCGTTAACTCTCCCTCTCTCAGTTTGTACCTAATACACCACTACTGGCTTAACCTCTCATCTCATAATAAACGAGACCTAAAATAGATAAATAGTAATCTAATGTTATTCTCTGGAGACCACAATGCAGATTGCCGACACAACAATCACGTGACCGGCACCTTAACCAATAGCGGCCTCCCCAATCACAGCACGTGACCACAGCAGATATATTTGCTGAGTTGTCCGGAAATGAAGGAAAAATTAAATGAGTACTCCGGGGAAAGATCTGCATTATAGTTTGCAGTTATATTGTAATGGATTGCAGCAATATAATGATCGGCGGTGATTATTAAACGGGGGACAATGCCCTGCTCCTTCATAAAGCGAACCAGGGGTGACGTGATTGACAAGAATATCCCAAGAATGCCAAGTTCCGATACCCAGTTGGAGGGAGAGAGAGTTAATAATTGTCTAGGCGGTAGCGGAAATCAGCTCCACAAAGGCGAAATGTCCCGATGTGAGCTGATAGGCTACATCCTGACTAGAACTGATAGTGATAGGGTGCACCGCCAGGCTGCTAGGGAGTGGGGTGTGCATTGTGCGCGGTGGATGTACTGATTATTGTACATGGTAGGGTGAACAATGCTCTAATATTCGCATGTATGAGTATTATTGGGTTGTATAATATATTGAGCATGGCACCAGGTTTCATCAGCAGCAGCCAGTGCAGGGTGGGATCTTGATGGCATCTAGTCAGTCAGTGTGTGGCTTATAGTTATAATGTTACAACTTCAGGACTATTACAGAACAACATTACTGGGGAGACAACACTCATACACAGCTGTTGTTGGTGTCCCTAATAAGTGGCAATAACTTTTAGAGAGACGAGGAGTTGGTTCAGGTCTCCTCTCCCTAGCAGTATCCGCCACATCTGATGTATTGACAATGCAATCAGTAACGTCTCATGATGATGATGATGATGATGATTAACAATACCTGTAAACTACACTTGGCTGCTGAGTGGTATAAGTAAATGTGATCGTTTTCGTTTATTCCTAACTGTTGTTCAGGGTGATTGGGCAGGGTTGAGCTCACCAAACCCTAAGTTCAGTGAGGCAATGCACATTACAGAACGGTGGGTAATATCACATACACGCTTATTAAGTACACACCTGTGTCTTCTCACACAAGTAGTAGAGTAACTACTAACAGCACTGCATGACTGATTCCCAAGATATCTAGTCCTCTGGTTCCCAACCCCTCCTAATCATTGCACTACAACTTATATCACATCGTGGTATTAGTTGTGGAGCAATCTTTAACCACAGCCCCTGTCATATCAATCGTAATTCCATGAATATTTGGCGTTCTTCCAAGATGGTCTAGCATCTCATGATACTCATAATTTCAAATTTTGTGCGGAACTGTTTTTAAAACACAGGGTTTATCTATTGTGAAGTCCTCAACTTTGTTGAAGGAACAGACGTCACTATTGCATTGGTTACCTCAACTTTGGGGTAATTTTACTCGAACGCACTTTAAGTTCTCCTGCGTAAGTAATCATCTAAAAGACTCGCTGCACGTGACGTGCGTAAACCGCTTAAATTCGGACTAGGGATTAAAACTGTTTTGATACGAGACAAATAATTTAGAATTCAGTAATTATAAACACGCTTATTAAAAGGTGGTACTAGGGTTTATAACTAATTTATAAAATAATAAATGCCTTATTTTTTAATTATAATTGTTATCTCTATCTGTAGTGAATGAAGCACATTTCATGATTTCGAAATCACGAAGTTTCTATTTAGCCTGTGATATACGTTATTGTAATTTGAACATTGACCCTTCAAAAGTCACATCAAAGGTAGTGCATAATGATGAAAAGGACATGTAACTTGTAAGTAACCAAATATCATATTCAGAAACGTTATTTGTGCTAAAATGATTAAATACTCACAAGTCAAAGATTCGAAGCAAGCTCGCTCAAAAGTCGAAAGTGTTATTTTCGGATCATTAGAGATTATAGAAAGCCAGTTATCACGAATATGGTTCAAGTATACTTATACTACTATACTAGATGTAGCTAATATGATTCAAATGTCACAAATTTAGTGTTAGGCCAAAAAAATTTTTCACAAAATCGTGTGCACCATTTTTTTAATCATATTTCAGCATTTAATCATATTTCAGCATTTAAATGTTATGTAACTCTGTACCTTTGTAACATAAAATAGTATTGTATTGATCAAATAGACCAGACTTCAAAATTTGAAAGCCAACAGATTAAAATTGTGCAAGTTATTCATACCTTTTAATGAACTTGTCCAAATGATCGAATTTCTTATTTTTAGTTTCACTTATGTCTTATATGGCAAGTTTTGTTAAATGCACTTACGGCATAAATATGCTGTTCACACTTCCTTAAAGCGAAAGCTTAGGTTAAGTTCTCGGGAATTTAAATGGTTTACGCACGAATTGAACTATTATTTAATTTGTCTGGTCAAGGAACTAAAATATTTCGGTACGAGACAGATGTTCAAGTATTCAGAAGCCAATATATATATATATAACTAGCACTTGACTGTGACGGCGCGCAGAGTTTTCAAGTTTCGCACGCCTTATATAATAAAAACGATTATCACGTACGCCAAACATAAACACCACTCTGGGATGCAATACTAGTAAAACAATTACATTGAAGGGAAATTTGATCGTGCGTGGTGTAACTGTGGCGAAATTCTTGTTTTAACTCAGAATCTTCATTTTTACTGAAATCGGCCAAGTTCAGATATAATATATGCTCCAAGAGGACTAAGCCTAGTAGACGGTGACATCCCGAAGGTAGAAATAATCTTTCGAATTATAATAGAGATGGGCGTTGGTTTTCGAATATAAAGTTGATGTCTTCTTTCAGTCTCAAATACATGGAATGCCTGTTTTAGTAAAACACAGACTCCTTGAACCTCGAGTCAGTGCTGGGTCAGTGAGGTGAGTCACTGCACAACAGTGAGTCTCTGACAAGTGCTGGGCTAACTGCGGTACTCTACCAGAAGTTCACGAGCCTTTTACCAGGTGTAAAACCCCCATTACGTGTAACAGAGGGCCAGTAAAAGTCCTCAAGCATGGCTACCGTCCTTTGTTGACCTAGGTCCTGATTTTAACGGTGCCATTGTCAGGAACTTAGTCTTATCAACCACGTGACTGAAACAACGGCCCCTGATTGGCTGTCCAGACTGACGAGGGGACTCAAGATTGGTGGAAACGAATGAGGTTTGTGAAAGAGCGGATGCTAACAGGCTATCGGGGTTTTAGTAAACATTAGCTATTGTTGAGAGGGCGGTGTATTGTATGGGGTCACTAGTCCGCCCTGATGTGTTGTTGTTGGAATAGTAAAACAATGTGCACTTTGACAGGGAGACATTGCACACTGCAAGACAATGTGTAATAGAGGTGATATTCAATCACATTTGCCGTGTGTGTGTGTGTCACCCACTCTCTTACATGACCCTGATCGATTAGCTCCAGTTTTAACGACTTCTGATTAGCCTAAAAAGTAGACATCATGACGGTGACACGCCGCATTTCTAGCTTGTCTATTATACATTCACCCTGTTTGAAGGTGGCTAACGATCAGGATGCCACTCTTCAAAAATATGAAATCTGACGAATAGAAGAGCTATCTTAGCTTTGTAACAAGTGTTACCAGCATGATGCCCACATCTATCTGTCCACTAAAATATCACGCACGTGCACGCGAAGTATTTGCACGCGTGCACGTGCCACGAAAAGTGAAATCTGAGAACCAACATTAAAGAGACATTTTAGGGCACGGGATTATGGGTGATGGTAAGTTAATTTCATAATTGATAAACATGAAGATTGAGGATTACACATTGTATCGCCCTTACTGTACGATACAGCTGTTAGTTGTGTGAGTGGGTTTACCGCCAAATAAATACAACTCACTTGTGAACCAACACTGTTCAAATTCATAATTTATAATATTAAGTATAAACTATTCGAAGGATATATAAAGGAAATAATAGAATAAACAGATAACAGGTACTATCTAAACATCAGGTGAAAGGTATTTTAAAATCAAATCTCACCTCGACAAGAGGGCAGCTCAGCATTCCACAGTTCCCGGCTCAAACACGTGATCCGATCGTAACCCTCCAGTTTGTAACCCTCGTCACAGGAGAAGTTCAAAGTGCTGCCCTCGTTAAACTTTTCTCCCCCAACCTGGCCATGTTCGGGGATACCTGCAAAATGTGCGTTGTATAATGTGGGTATTAGTTAAGTGGTACTGGTATATTATTTGCAAATTTAAATGGCCAGAATGAAATGGAAAATTCGGAGTGCATAAAGGTATTTAAGCAAGATTGATGGTAAAATTTAACTGAATACTTGGTGGTTAATAGTTATTATAGGTAATTAGTTGTTGTTAAACGGATCTTTTGCTCGCTAATTTCGATTGTTTCAATTGTGGCTAATAGTTATAATACATAACACTAATGGTTAACTGGTTAATCAGATCAGATCTAATTGGACAATTGTAATTATAATGAGGTGAATCCTACACAAACATTAATTATATAATATTCATATGTCGCTTATCGAGGGACAGTGAGCATTTTTTATCGCCGTATGACAAGTAATCCTAAAATTAGTTTTCAAGGAAACTTCTCCACCGTTTTGTTAAACGGTCTGCAAGAAATATGTGACTGAAAATGTTTATGAGTCTGGAAATGTGAGCTTTGATAACCATCATAATTTATACGTAAAGCAAGGTCCACAGTGTGCGTCGTTTGTCCGGCCACCAATACTTAGTCTTAGTGCTTAAATCGATAAACTCTTGTATTGGAGTTTAATGTTTACCATTTAAACTACTTAAAAATTTCAATAACAGCTTTGATGTCCGACGGTGCCTTTAGAATATCTATCGGACGATAGAGATAACAGCACTAAATTCTCGAACTGTACAAGAGGGACCAAATAGTTAAACATTGAACCAGGAAGTAATTTTACTGATCATACTAAATATTAAAATAGTATGATGAGTTATAATCAGCCGTATTTATGCAAATTAAATGTCGTTTTCGAGAATCGAGACCATATTAGTTAATATCGGGTGAGATATGCTTCGTAAGTTGCATATTCATGCATGAGGTGCTTTAAATATAATATATTGTGCTAAAACTGAAAATTAATATAATATTTTATTACCGATGATCAGTGATCACCGTTAACAGATGGAGAAAGGCGGAAAAGGAGACACGTTCCCCAATCCCAATGTTTGAAAACCAAACAACCATAATGCCCGTGTGAAGATGAATATGGCAAGAGAAGAAAGCTAGTTTCCCAGTCTGAAATGAGAACCCTAATCAGTCGTCACTACACATGGACATTGGACATGGGAGTACATATGATTATAGCTGGGTGTACTTATACTGTATATAGCTGGAAGTATAGCTGGAAGTATAGCTGGAAGTATATCTGGAAGTATAGCTGGAAGTATATCTGGAAGTATAGCTGGAAATTGTGAGCTCTCTACTAAGTGTGATTAACCCCGGAACATACCACTCCGAGTCCAGTTACAGAGGATGATTTAGAAGATAATTCGCATCAATCCATCAAGAAGTTACAAAGGGAGTTGTACTTAATCCCAGGTTAATGTAGCCCAGAACTACGTGGATTGGCCGGTCAAGGTAACCAGTGTAGTTGTCATGGTAACAAGGCGAGGCTCACAGTGTATGATTGATGGTTCTAGACTAATTGGTTTTGGGGATTAAGCGGAAGAGTTAAGAGGAGATTAAGAGGAGATTAAGAGGAGATTAAGAGGAGATTAAGAGGAGATTAAGAGGAGATTGAGAGGAGAGGAGTTACGGAACACGTTTACCATGATTCGGGTGTGCTCCAATTTGGTGTGTGAGTAAGCAACCAGGTTCACGTCAATAATAATGACTCAGGTGAATATCTGAGCAGCTTGTGACCATGCAAAGCTTTAATAATTAATAAGGTATGGTTCAAATGAATTGAAACTTAAGATTTCATTCCGTCTAAATTCTTTCGATTTGTGCTTTAAGGGCTCTAGTGCGACTCACATTTCAAATCTTGACTGTTTTCTCCGCACAATATCAATGCTCCCATATTGTCCCACAATATCCCTACAAAACCAACTTTATTTACTCAAACGTGTGAAAAATATTTCATCCTATTTATATCAGAGAAACTTAATCTTATAATAATATAACGCCATACACCGCGTTTAATGAAACGATATCCTATTTAAGCCCCACGAAGGTACGACCAATCAAGTTATGTAAACGTATAATCTTAAAATAGCATATTCATATTTTACATCATCAAATGTGTGTTTTCAACACACCATTTAACCAATCAAGTTATGTAAACGTATAATCTTAAAATAGCATATTCATATTTTACATCATCAAATTTGTGTTTTCAACACACCATTTAACTTCCTTGTCTTTAAATTTATCCCCTAACCAAATCAGTAATCTGCACTTCACGTCATCTGACTGAACTGCTGATCAAACACCCGTTTCAAACGGCTCACCTTACCTACTCCCCTTATCCCGGCATAAACCGTTTTAAAGCAGAGCCAAGAGAGAATCTGTAAATGAAATTCTCACGTCTTACATCATCCTACTGGAGATTAGATTATCAGTAGTCACTAGTCAGGAGGATTATAGCTGTTGACATTTGGGCAAGGTTAGAACTTTTGTCAACGATCTGAGCACCCTGTAATGATAGCGGCGACCGATAGACCATATATTATTATGATCCCTGATCCCATGTTGACGGACCATAATTCGATTCATACTTACCTCCAACCCCCTTCTGATCCCTTTACCACTACTTATTATAGTAAGGATTTTTTAATAGCTCAATGTATTTAAATAGTCAGGATATCTATTAACCAAATTACTATTAGAATCCATAACCAAATTTGGACCTATTATCGTGCAAACTACAAATTATGAAAAGTTATAAAACAAACATTTGGCGTCACACAGCTGGACAATTTCCAATAATTACATATCTTCTTCCCTCTAAAATATCACTGGACTACCCCCCCCCCCCCCCCCCATCCCCGGATGTTTGGAAAGTTACACTCACACACACTCTACACGTTGTATCTACTTCCATCACTCTTCCACAAAGAGCTCTACACGGTCCACTAAAACCACCTCTTTAAGGTCTAATTCTACACCTTTAGCAATTCACAACTCACACGATAACAACTTAGCACATTTTAAGTGAGCACACTGGATCAGACTGTGATCATTCATCGTTATGTTCCAGTGTTTACCAAGCACAAGCATAATAACACATAATTAGAAATCTCTGCAGCATAATGTTATATTTCGTGAAGGTATATATTATTATCTAGGAGGGATTGTAGGTTGAAACTTGAAATAGAATATGCAGTGTAACGATTTTGTGTATCATGATTTTCATGTATTTGTGTATAAAACATGAATTGAAAACTTATCTCTAGAATGAAACAAGATACTTATTGCTAGTATAAAAAATGTTTAAAATTTCCAACTGACCAGGGTCGCCGCAATAAGAGATCTTGGTGTAGTAACAGAACTCCAATTTCACATCTCCTAGGTCAGTGACCCCCTCTTGTGGGATTGTTCCGCCGAATTTCGGCTGACTCAGGTCTCTCTCGTCGTTGTCCCAAAGAATATACTCGGTTCGAACCTGCGTCCCTTCCACTTTCTGCGGTGTTATTTAAACTGTCATGATTTAATTTTATTTATTCCTCATGTCGATATAACGACATTTCGATTTAAGGTCTTGACGTTATTATATAAAAGAGGTGAAGTATTTTAATGGATATGTAATTATTCTGAGTGGTTATTACTCAATATGAAAGGTATGACATTAGCATCCCAATCATTCTCAACCCACAAAATATGGGATCTCTACTCTTGTAATCAGTAAAATGGTATGTCCTTACATTCCTGCCCGCGTAATGATAATGTATATGTTGTATGCAGATACTTACCGACTAGTCAATGACTCACCAACCAATCGCTTATCAGTCACACTGACCGGTCACTGGCTAATTCCGGCTCATTTCTGTGCGTTAAAAAGTTAGAATGTGTGGAGCCAAACATAAGCTATCTATACCAAGATCTCAACCTGTTACCACACTAGTCACAACGAATACCCTTACTCCTTAGGCCTTACTAACTCTCAGAGCTATATCGTCGCACAGTGACTGTAGGCGTAACATGTGACTGTAGGGCGTAACATGTGACTGTAGGGCGTAGGCGTAACAGAAGGACCAGTGTAACGGCTCTTGTAACGCTGTTAGTGCGGGTCATTACAGGGGGATATAGTCCGTTATCAAAACAGTTACACGTCATGTTTAAGTCCCTTGTGTAGATTTGCTGGACTATTAGAGAACACTTGAACTCAAGGTTTAAGAGGCTCAGTAGAAGTTGTTGGAGCTGTGAACTACTATTATAGAGTATAAATACTGATGGAGCTGTGAACTATTAATATTATTATTGAGTCTTAGCACTAGAGTCACAGCAGAAAACATGAGTAATTTTGAAGACTCGGTAAAATGGAGAATTTATTGGTTACTCTTTTTCTAAGAGAACTTGTCAACGACAAATGAAATGACTGCTAATATATAGGGAAATTTAGATAAATTTTTGTTGGCTCAATTTGTTGAAATTGGATTAGATTCATTCATCGGTGAATAATCGAATCTCAAATTTGAAATTTCCAACTTGAAATTCACATAATCCGCTGTATATTTGAAAAGAGTTAATAATTGAACTTACTATCGAATAAAATCATTCGCAATGCCTCATTAAATCACAAAAGCCGGATATATAATAATGTAACTAAATAATTTTTGTCACCTAAGAGATAGTCGTAATATTCTGAAGTACCGAAATGTGCACAGCAATGATCTCTAACCCACAAATGTAGGTTACATCCAATCACTATGACATCACACAGGGTCCTTTTCAGAATGGGGCTTATTACAGAGATTATAAAAATGCAGAACTAAAGGGAGCCAGACAGATATCATATAACATTTTAACAACCCAGTAACGGGTCCGTGACATCACTCGCTCCCGCCAGTTATCAACCACCTATATAGCTACACGACTCTCCCAACAGGTGCTTAACTCTTGTGACATTTCTTCTTCCAGGACGCGTTGTCTTTTGGGGAGAGCAGCACAGGGAAGTAAGGAAGTTTTAAAACTTCAATAATTTGCTTGTAAGGAAAAGTCAGGTCAGCGTTTCCTTCAAACACGAAAACGTGCTTGGTCAGATCACATGTCACAGCTTAATTTCATTGTGCTCTTTTTAAATTTTAACATATCCCCGTGGAAAGAGGACACACAGCTCAGTCTATATAATACTCTTATTATCAATCATGATTCCAACGCCACCACAACAATTAATTCACCAGAAAATTAATCAAGTCACCACTTCACTACTATTGTTTTTGGCAACATCCTGGCCGGTGGGAACAGGACAAAAGAACGCATGGTCAACACATGGTCTAATCATTGCACGGCTCACAATAGCCCACAGGCGCGGGTTAACTTCTAAAACGTCTCACACAATACATCCTCCATAATCAAATAACAATACATGCGAATACACACAGGTACACATCACTACACACTCTCCTGGTACGGGAGATATATATTCTGCTCAGGCTGGATGTTTGCAATGTCTCTCCATCGGTAGCATCCCGAACCACCCTACCATCCTGCCCTGAGTTCGTTTACCGATAGATAATGGCTGCTGTACTGTTTACAGTGCTGATAAAGGGCGATTCAGGTACTGTGCCCTGATTATAGCTTTACTGCTGGTTATTTCTTATCGATTACTTGGGCATTCTAAACCCTTCTAAGGGGAATATTTTACATTGACCTATAGATGATGTATTGGACAAAAGATGATTTCAAACAGGCTATGCTAAGTTGTAGGTAAGCAATACAATGTAAGGAAGGATAGTTATTGGGGCCAATTGTACATGTTATCAATACAACAGAACTATGAGGCCAGTTAGTGGGATTGTTTAGGCTTCACTGCATATACCACTCTAACCATTAGCTAAGAACCCTCTATTTGGCCAACAGGTTTTGAAACAAACGATAAAACATGTGTCTCAGTCTGGAAAAGGGAAAAGTCTGGCTACATGAAGGTTAGCAAAAAAAGACAATAATATTATTGTTTAATTATACCCAGATGACAATAACAATAAGGATCTCTTACCTGACAAGTGTCTCCGTATTTTAACAGGGCGAAATTCCTGCCTCTGGGCAGTTCCACAGGAATGTCTGGATCGCCGGTGGTTATGCAGCAGAAGTTCATCTTGGTTTGAGCTGGAAGATCGTACTGACCGGTAGGCATTACACCCCGCCACGAGTTTCTGAGATATTCAGCAATAAGAGTAGCTTATTATTATATTTATTGATAGATAAAACTATTTTAAACTGACGATAATAAAAGATGGGTGGATCTGTAAAATCCCTGCCTAACATCAGTAAAAACTCACAAACCAATCGGCGCGGAATGTACCTGTTTTGGTTCCTCTCGTCCTGCCATAGTATCCAACCATCTTCAAAACCATCCGGACAGCTGTCATCAACTTGGTAGAAACAATACTGGCCATTGGGCCATGGGCCTCCCGTCAGGTCTTTGTCTGAAATATTGGGCATATTAAGGGAGATTTGCTTGCATGGTCGGACAAGATTGAACAAAATTAAATACTTTAATTTTATCATGTAGGGGGGGGGAAAGAATTTGATGTTGGTCATGTGCATGTACAACATAAACTGATATTGGGCGAATGCCATTTATTTTACAAATCAAATAAAGATAGCCACGTAACGAACGGAAATGTGTAATGAAATATTAATGAAATATTACGGTTATCATACCCTTTAAGGTAACAGTTTTACTGCAAAAAGACAAATGAATATCCTTTTCAGAGTCCAGCCTGAGTTCCAGATGCATTGACACGGAGTGGGCGGAGACAGGCTTAGTATCTTCACAGTCAAACACTCGTGTTCCTATCTCGAATGCGAAGTCGCTCGACTCAGGACAACCTAAAATATACAAGTTAGAATCATGAAGAGCTCTATTTGTTGGAGTTCAGGTTAGTTTCAGGTGCAATATGTTGGGGTGGAATAGTTTGAGCATTTCAATAGGATGAAGACGGGTTTGTTTCATCAATTGGAACACATTGCAGTACAAATATAAATATTAGATTTCCTAGATTTTAAGATTGTCAACTGTCAAGTAAGGAAATAAGAATCATAGCACGCCGAAAAAGAGAAATATTTCTCCAGAAGACAACTTCAAACAGTAGTTATTGTGACTAAAAATCAAAATGAATCAATGTGACTTTTGTAAAGAGGCTTGAAGAATTTGGACTTCAAATTGAGGAGAAAGCCGAAGACCAAAATACTTACAATTCAGTCCACAGTCATCATCATTTGTTGTCGAGTTATTAACTGAATAACAAACAAAATTATCTACATTATCTAGACCTATTAATTTGAGCCTCAAATATGATAAAACAGTCTTCTAACTTTTATTATCTAACACGGCATTGCATAATCCAGGTAATATATGGAAGTAACTTTGAGGAGAGCAATGCTGGATATTTTATTTGCTGCCCACTGTGTACTAAGGTCAGTCACAAGGATTCACAGTATAATCAAGTACATTTCACGGCAACAAGGTTGCTATGTAACTCTAATTAATCCTTTCCTGCTGACTAATACTATCAATTTTAAAACATGACTCACCAAAGTTATTGTATATAGTGGTATTTTGGAGAGGCCATTTTTAAGAGTTAAGTTGGTTTAAAAGCTTATAATGCGCAGATATTAATAGATAAGAGGCGATCTGTATTTTAATTGCTCTACGTATAATAGTTTAATAAATGATATCAACAGCTGTTTCAAAGTGCTGTACTGTGTAAAAACATTGGCCCTGACCAGCAGGGACCAGTTTATAACTTGACACAAATTGCTGCAATTTGGGTGAATACGTTTTAATCATTGCAATGTAAACTTCTACAACAATCATGATCATAACACAGGACAACGTGATTACATTTTTTACAATTTTACACCAGGTTACTATGCCAAACAACCTGTCCACTCATGATCTGGATTTTCCTCATAAAATTCGTCAAAAGTCCGTTTGTCACTTGGGTCTGCGATTTATGTTAGCTTTCAAATTTAGAAATAACATCATATCAGCCTACTGTGCTAATAGCAGGACTACTGAACTTTTACAATCCCCACAATCTGGATCTCAGGGTAAGTTAAAGAATTATTCTTGAAAATTTTCAATTATTAGCTGTACTCTTGTCTTACCCCTGTATTAATAAATTAGTTTTCTTTTATACAAAACATGATATAAAGAAGCGATTATAATGTTACACTATTTAGTTACCTTGAGCTCGAGTTGAAGGAAGTGCAAATTTTCCTTCGGGCCATTTTGTCTGGGGCCAATAGCCAATTATAGAAGACCCCAATGTTAACAATAGCAGAAAGAAAGTGGCTCGTAGCAGTGTCATAAGAGCATAAGCTATAAATCTGAAAAAAAGTAATTAAAACTTACGTAAAATGAGCTGGATCATAATCAAAAGAAAGATGTTTGTACAATATACTGTTTGTACAATATACTGTTTGTACAATAAACTGTTTGAACAATAAACTGTTTGTACAATAAACTGTTTGCTAAAATTGGAATTGGAATTAGTTCTTGACTTAACTGAGGCAAATACATATTCCTAGTAAATGGTTGAAAGTGAGCAGGGCTGGGCTGGGACTTATATTGCATTCGGTAATGGGGGCACCTGCAATTCTAATACGGAGATAAGACAACCCATGCCCTTTTTGTAAAGTCTTGCCCTCAAATATTTGCAGTCAAATATTTAACAGAATAATAAATTGCTTCTCACAGTTAGCTAGTGTAATCTATGTGCCATGTAGTCTAAGTGTTAAGAGTTGGAATAGATTTTTTTCTCTCCAATTTTGATAAATTTGTTACCAAAATTTCCCTTGAAGTGTGAATATTACACATGTGTAAAAGGACCAAAAATTGTTAATTTCAGGGTTAAAATGCCTGTAATTATTTACAGGATCGTTATCATCTCGGCCAAACAAAAATCCAAATAGCAAAGAAAAAATTGCAATATTTGGAGAAACAACCTTTTTTCAAAAATTCATACTTGTGTTCTGGTTCTAACAATAGAACCAGAGCACAAGTATGAATTTTTTGAATTCAACAATATTTGAATTTTGATTAGAAATGGGACTAGTAAGCTATAATTATCTGCACCGCTTTGTTGGCCAGTATCAACCCCATTTTTGGGACTTTGGTCGCTAATACGGCCTAAGCGGTATACAAATAAAGCGTTATTATTATTATTATTAATGTTAGTACCAAAAATTATGTCTTGCCGAGCTGAGTAATTCCTTGTAAAAATTAAGATAACTGATACTATGAAACTTACAGACCAAGAACTACAAATTTTTCGCGACAATAGTGCATGCATCGACCAAACGCTGTGCATTGAATCAGAAAGTCCTTCCTGGTAAGCTCTGACGACTCCTTATAAGCTAGACAAAGCAAAGCAAAGGGGTCACAGACTCTGAGGTCTCGGGACTCGGCGTGTGCAATCCTCAAGAGAATTGTAAACAGAAGCTGAATTAGTGAAACAAATTTCACTCTTATGAGTTAGCAAAACAAATATCCAAGGCACTTTGAGATAAGTACAGGCCTGGTACTTACCACAAGCAATGCAGTCAACTGTGATTAAGCTTTACAGCCTGTTTAGCATTTTTTTACCATTCATGCTTCCCAGTAGAATTGTGTTAATTGACATTTTTAGACAACTTATGATATAACATTCATCAAATCAGGGAGAACAAGTTCTGTTCCAACTCTTGGTGCTTGTTACACAGACGAGTTGTTAAAGCTTCGATGATCAATAATCAGAAGGTTGCACAGTTGAGTCTCGATCACTCGGGTGAGCCCGAAAATGGTTAGGAAGCCATGAAAAAGCTAGGAGAACTTCGGCATTTATACCCATCATTACAAATACACTTGTATTGTAAATTAAACAGCATAATATATATATATATATAATATATGCAGCTTGAGGTCCCTCTCCTGCCTTCAATGATGCATTAGCCCTATATAATATAATTTAACCTTTCGTTATAACCTTTATCCGCCTACAAATATGGGAAATTTTGAAACAAATTTTCATTTCCCTATTATCTTTCACATGCTGTTCCTGGTGCAGTCTCGAGCATTATTTTAGATGCAAAAACAGCTAGTAACTTCAGTACTAGTCGCATCGAATACTTTACTATACTTTAACATTCATTGATCTGTAAACGAGGAAGATATGTCTGAATTGTTATTTTCTTGATTTATAAATTTGTTTACAAAATTCGCTTCAAAGTCAGATTACTATAACACTTAAATTCACTATTTGTTTGTGCAATAATTGGGCCTTTTGATTAACAATATGAATCCTTCCCAGCTCGCATAGCAGTGGCAAAGTAGTGCATTACTACAATAAACATTGTTATGGTCGAGAGAAATGTTGCGCGGTGCATTTACTATGTACTAGTAAAACAAATTTTTTTTAAAGATAAACAAATTTTATTTTATACTCACAATTAATTCATGTTTAGTTCAAGTATTTAAACATTGAAGTCAAAAAACCATTTCACAGAAGTGGTTTTATTACATATTATTATAAAATAATTTGTGATATGTGTACAAGTTTAACGGATGATACTCGTAAAATATTTGACCATTGTTAATGGTCTGGCCCGGCGCGCGCTACTTCCAACTTCTGACTTCGTAGCACTTGCCGTCGGGCCTAACATTTCTAAAAGAAAACGGCGCGCGCTACTTCGAAGAAATTCAGACGAGTAACATCCGTTAAGTAATATATTTGTTCCATATATTATGAACCGTCGATGAGTCCAACTCGGCGCGCGTCCTGGTAGGTTATAAACCTGATAAATTAATTTACACTAAAAATTGTACAAAAAATTTGTATCACGTGGTGACCCCCACGGTCGCTTCACTATACCCCTGTAAAGTTTCAACGATACAGGGGGAGCCGCACACTCGTGCGCGGCGGGTCATACAACGTACAACAAAAAATACACAATTTTTACTTTTCAACACTTAACTGGTTCGGCGCGTGGCTGATAAAAAAACGTTTAATTTACATTTATTAACTACAGTGTACATACAGGGTAAATACTCAGCCTGTCATTCCGCCGAATCTCTATGACCATAAATATAATAGCCTGAGGCCGTCCCCAGGTAAACTGATATCAGAGTCCAATCTAGCTGCAAACGTTAAATACCACAGTTCAGCCGCCGAGTACCGTTTAAGTGAACACTGAGACAAAAGGTTTAGGTGTCATTTTGTTGTAGGTTTATAACCTACCAGGACGCGCGCCGAGTTGGACTCGTCGACGGTTCAAATTGAACAAATTGGAACAAATATTTTACGAGTATCACCCGTTAATCATTTTGTAAATCACTTTATGGATGGTTGGTTTATAATTGTTGTACATTGTAGAAAATCACAGTCACTACCCCATATAGCGTTATGTCACGGCCACGGGTTTAACTTCTAAAAATCAAATATATTGAAATTATTTCATGGGATCGTAATTTGGAGGATGTAGCATGCAGGCAGCTGCTTCGACGCGCCGCGCAAACTATTATTTTTTGCGCCGCATCGACAAGCTCGTGAAAAGAGAAATCGAATAAATCGGCCAATGTTATCGCGGGTGCAGTATTCAATACTGCACATTTCCGTGTTTTGGTGACCCGTCTTCCAATACATAATTTGGATTTCGATATACTGGGCTACTGGTTATTTGGGCTATTTATTATATAATATTAGTTTTCTCCTTTTATATCTGGGTTTTTTAAAAAGAGCATTCATTTCTGAATAATTTTGTGTTGTTTGAAAAGATTTAGATTTTTAAAGGGTGATGCAACGACATTTTTTTTATAAAAAAGAAAAGTGTGGGATCTGGAATTTAATTTCTTGAGATTTGTGATCATCGCTCTTATAGATGAATAGAAAGAGGATCGAAGCGCAACGCTTGATTAAAAAGCTTGCACAAAAGATGGAATCTCCAACTAAACGGGTCAGCGTTATTCAGACTCAGTTACATATCTTAGAAAGCGCTTGCGCTTTGAGGTTTTAAAGACAACGGTTATTTCGATAAGGGGGGACAGAGGGCCCAAGTTGCGATATAAACCAGACAATATTGAAGATTTAGATTTAAATATTGAGCCCTTTGGCTAGAGAATACTTTCTTGAATATTTTTGATAGTTTTTAATATTGGTAATGTTAATGAATTGTAATTGATTGATATGTAATATTTAGGCCCGTGGCCAGTTTTCAAAAAATTGAAGAGCAAAGAGTAGTTTTTTAAAACATACTTGAACTTACAACCTGTTTATTTTATTCTTAATGGGTTTTTACTCGAACATGTATTCAGATTTTTACAATTTTAATTTATCGGTGAAATTACATTTATTTGGGTCTACGTTAACCTTATTATACATTTTTGTCCCTCTAGTCTTCACAACCTCTGGAGGTATGGGACCGCTATGCACTGTATTTGTAGATCGTGTCTCTGAGATGATAGCTGACCATAAAAAAGAAGCCAAGAGCCAAGTCAAAAAATCATATCAGAACGCGATTTAGATTTGATCTGTTAAGAAGTACACTCATTGCACTAAGAGGAATCAGAGGAAGATCAACGGCCCAGCATCTTGAACTGCATGACATCTCCTTCAACCTCATCCCCCAGAAGACGAGCTTTGAGGTCTCCTAGATTTGTTTATGTAAATTTTGAAATTTTGATATTTTACTATACTATTTTATGTTGTATATATAATTTTACGGACGAAATGATCCCAGGGGGGACTCCCAACCCACCGCTTCGGCGGGTAGTTGACGCACCTTTCACAAGCAAGAGCCACTTTGGTCTACTTGCTGTGAGGTGTCTCAGCTACACAGAGAAAAGCTTTTAGTCACTGTGCAGTTAAAGTATTTAATTCCTTGCCATACGACATAAGATCAGCTGAGTCAGTTACATCTTTCAAGACCAAACTTAAAACATACTTCTTTTCTCTAGCATTTGATTGATTTTGCATTTACATAAGTAAAATGAACTTGTCATGTCTAATTTTCAATTAAACTAAGCTCAGTTAATGTAAGAGCCGCTTTAGAAAGCACTGGAGTTTATCTCCAGGATTAAATTATATCGAGTTATATGATTTAGCTATAAGGCGGTTTATAAATGTTGTATTTATTATTACATGGGTTGGGGGTCCCCCCTTTTCTTTTTTTTTTTTTTTCTTTTTTTTTTTTTTTCTTTTTTTTAACCTTATTATACATTAAAGCTGTATTATATATTACGAAAGCTGAACAATTACCATTGCTGACTTAATCTTTATAAATTAAACTCAACCTTTGTTAACTGTATACTGAAAATGCCCTTTTAGGTAGGTAACCTAGAGGTTAGAGCTTCCGTCGCCTTATTCCCAATGTCATCTAATCTAAAGATCCGTCGGATATGTGAAATTACACCTGTATGCATTTTGCCTGGGGTATAAAATATCCGTTCTATGCTCAAAACCGAATCTTAAGGGGGGGGGGGGGTCCAACTACATTATTGTACATGGCAACCAGATTTTTGCCAAATGTACATGTACAAAAATGTACAAAATATGTTTTTTCTTGTTTGGCCACCAGATTTTTGCCAAATGTACATGTACTAAAATGTACCTTAATGTACAAAATTTGTTTTTTCCTGTTCCGTTTCCAGGGATTTCCGATTTTTTGTACATTTTTTAAGACCATTAATGTACATGGCCATCAGATTTTTGCCAAATATATGCTAAATTAGTGTACAAAAATGTAGTTGGACCCCCCCTCTTAATTCTATTTTATAATATTATACGGTTTTCAGTGTACTGCAGGGTACAATAAAAAGACTATAGATTTTTTAATAAGACCCTCTTCGAATTCCTGATCATTCGGCTAAGTCGACTGAAGTCCTTAGTGCAACCTTTTATAATCTAATTTATATTCTAGATATTTTATTTATTTTTCAACAGACGACAACTTCCTGTTTTTTTTCTTCTATATTAGTTACTCATATCTCTTGTACAGACTGTTTTACAAGGACATTGACAGATGATACTCACATTAGGCATTCATTATTACATCTAAATTATTTCACTTGCATTAGGTTTAGAAATTTATTCTCTGGTTAACAGATTCAAATGTATAATTAATTTGTAGTATGACAGTAAGGTATCGTATATAATAAGAAGTTATTTAATTTTGCTTGGGCTATTATATTGACTATTGAGGTTTAATGATGATATGGAATTTGAATATTATATAAATTTACACTATGTGGTTGGGGCATTTTGCATAGTAAATATGGTTACTACTCCTATATATCATATTATTTGATTGGTATTCGATTTCTGATTATTTTCCTAGGAATATGATTATTATATCTCAATTTGGCTTTAGGTAGGGTGCCCCGCTAAAAGAACTGGATTCTTCCAGGAAGCATCCTGTGCACAGAGCTTGGTCTACATATATATTAAATTATTAACCATTCATTCTGTATGTGCACGAAAATTTATTTCAATCAAAAACCTCTGGAACTGATAGCGGAAGCGGGTCTCAAACCCGATTCTGATTATAAATGTCTTCAAGTAACCACTGCACTACCCCAACAAGGCCACCAAGGAATCTCGTTGTTCTGCCCCATAAACTGGAGCCCCCATATTTTTAGTCCCAGATAGGGACTGATCAACAGTTACCCTATAAACCTATACTTATTTATATATTTTTTACAAACATTCATCTATCTGCAAACAGTGCATAAATAATTTAACCAAAGCTTACTTTCAGATATCATGTATTGTATGCAATGGCTTCTACCTCTCCTGTTCATTCCTAAACCGATTTCTCCTATCATGTTGCAGAACCATCTGACGTTATTGGCTTTGTACTTAACAGATTTCCTTCTTGTACAAAGACCCTGTGCGCTTTGTTCTATTGTTTTTATCATAGCTGTTGGACTCCTTTGCTATTCAGGAATTGGAAACTGTGTTGTCTGCTGAAAATGTTAGAACTGGAAATATCTGCTGTTTCCAGTTCTTGAATCTCTTAAAGCAAGCTGCACTTACAGGAGACAGAAAGCTGAAGGTTGTATGTAACAAATCCAGAATGAGCTGGACCCGGGCATGTCGACCTGGCTCGGTATTTGGATGGCTGTCTCATAGACAATATTGCCATGTGTACCTGTGTTTTGGACAGAAGAAAAGAGCTCTGACTGTTTTTAATCATGATAATATTATTATCTCAATGCCTGCTAAATGGCATATCCTAGTAATCTGGTTATAATTATATTGGCATGCTGAGCTGATACTTTGTGTGCTTTTGGATGCTTCTTTTGTTATTGTTTTAAATTTTATTACCATAATATGCTGTGCATGCTGTAGGGTTGCAATGCTTATTTAAACCTAGATTAAACTGTTAAACTCTGTAGATAAATTATGATTTTTCTTAGTAAATCAAATTTTCAATCAACTATTGTTTACAGAACTTTCTACTTGCATAAAGTAATATTTTTTCATTAAAATACCACAACAAACAGTTATTATTTTTATTGTAGACATAGCACTTGAACTTCTTCAATTTGTAGTCTATCTTGAAGTTCACAAACATGATAACATATATATATAATTTAAATAATTGTCTGTCATTATTACTTCTTCATAGCTCTATGCAATAGGAGGACTCAAGACAAAATGCCAAAGTACTACTGCGACTACTGTGACACATATCTTACTCATGACTCTCCATCTGTAAGAAAAACACACAATGGTGGACGAAAACACAAGTATGTATTGCATATAGATTCAATTGAAATATTTCCGAAAATGCTTTTGTTTATTACAATGTTTGGATGCCATGCTTCTCTGATTGTCCGAATAAAATTAGATATTCCCACTGATCAATTTTCAATATTTACGCTAAAATTGTTGTTAACAATACTCATTTCCTCAAATTTCTGTTTTCAGGCGTTCGAGGCCTAACATTGATTTCGAGGACTGTTTTGTAATGTTCATAAGTATGAAATGATATGATTTGTGTAACGTCACATAGCACACCGTTGACATAAATTACATGTTTGAATTCAGTGGGAGTAAAATGGCCTCATCTAAGTAACCCTTGCCTAATTTTAATCACTTCCAGGGAAAATGTGAGGATTTACTACACCAAGTGGATGGAGGACCAGGCTCAGTCCCTAATTGATCAGACAACAGCTCAGATGAAGATGAGCCAGCCACAGCCTCACTCGCAAGTCCTAATACACCAGCCCGTCAATGTGATGCCAGTGATGGTGGCACGAGGCCCGCCTGGTATGGGTATGATGGGCGGACCCATGCTCAGACCTGGACAAGTTCCTCTTAGAGGTATGATGGAGATAAATTATACACCAATATCATGTCACTTATATATTACATATCGAACTTTCAATCTATTATTTTCATTAAATTTTATATAAAATACTTAATTTTCTAATTCTATTTTTCATCCAGGTCCGATTGGTCCACCAAGAGGCTCACCCTATGGAAGACCACAGATGCAGATGGGGATGAGAGTTAGAGGTCCCATGCCACCGGGCATGATGGGTGGAATGATGCCTCACAATGGCTTGTGAGAAATGAACGATTGGGTCTAAAACCGGAAATTGCTCACCTGTCTTCGTGATCAGAAGTCAAATGAAAATATATTTCATATATAATATCAACGTTATTGTAAACAATCAATATCTGAAAATAGCTAACATGATTAACGAGATAAGTTTTGCTTTAAGCCGCGTCAAGATAATTTGTGGATTTATCTTTAAAATTTTACCTTCTTTACAATAGAGCGGTATGCTTATTGAGCTCTTTTTAAAATATGCTTTTGATGCTTTGCCATATTTAAATTAACAGAAGTTTAAAATCTATCCATTTGTGCAGTTTATCTGAGATTAGCTGTGTGGTCCATAATTTTAATTGGTGAATGGTGACTAAATATAAAACTATTATCTAAGCTTCAATCTTATTTTTATTCTTGATGTCAACTCGTTCCCGTCATTTGTGTTCCTTGATCCACAATAATTTTACTTTCTTAAATTTTTGAGTATCTCCAAGAATCGACGGAATCCCGGCTAAATCCCTGTCAAAGCGGCCCATATTTCGAATCGTCACTCATAATAAGCCTCTTCAATAGCACTCGCTGGCAAAGCTTCAAAATACAATAGCGTTGTTGTTCCTCTTTGTTTGAGAAGTTCAATCAATAATCTGTGGACCATGAGTGAACATCAACAAATTATCGATTTGTTTCTATAATTGCAGATCAGAGGCGACTTGAGTAATTGAGGGACATCAGACTAACACACGTGCTCCACGCCAGCTTATGGACAAATAATGAACTGACGAATTCCTGAAATTCCAACCAAACAGTTTTCAGCTTTAAGAACAAAGCTTTAAGAACAATAGACCTCCAGAGACCGTGCCCCATCGAAGATCGATCTCTCATTGCCAGTTAGCAATTCTTGATAATGTTTTCGATGTGCTAAATTATAAACGGGACGAGCACAGGTTAAGACATCTTCAGTTGGTATATTTCGTTGTTTCTACAGTGCTGGAGCTACACCTATTTGTCACGATGCTTTAAGTTACTAGCATGATATTTACTTGACAACGTATATATTGGTTAGATGGTCACATCAACCCTTACCACCTAATGTGGTGATCTTAATTTTTCGGAGGTGTTACGCAGGTGTTACGCAGGTGTTACGCAGGTGTTACGCAGGTGTTACACAAGCTGATTCTATGTTGCCGAATCATCGATATATTGTCTACCTGGATCATGAGTGTCACTGATCCCAATCTAATCGGCATCATTGTCGGCACTTACCTCGGTAACAGAAACCCTCCACGAGGAAATCAGAAACTCCTTGTTGGCCCTAAGCTGATGTTCGTTCTCACATTTTTCTCGGTCACTTAATATGAACTGAAAATGGAAAATTGCATTTATATCCCGCCTAGCTATATCAACAACCAATATTAGTTTCAACTCAAAAACAACGGTCAGGGTTTAAGGTCCGGTCCCGGCCAAAAAAGAGGCTCTAGTCGATTCTTTAGTATCTGTACTGTGACGATTTATAACTAATGTTTAATCATATAAAAATATACTGTAAAGCAACTTAACACATAAAATATTGTAGGTCACATGACCGTGGAACAGCAGTCGAGTACCACAAGAACAGAAACAGAAGACCTCAACAATGCTGCTCTTCTGCAGCACAAATACAACCTTACTAAGTCTAAAAGTAAAGAAGAGGAGGTAGGTGGTCCTACTCTTCTGGAGGTCCTCGAACTTCAGAGATCCTCAGCTGTAGTATCTCGTTCTGGTACTAAAGGTGGACATTCGGCACGTGGTGATGGAAGTAATAACATTTCTGGCGGATCAGATGATGGATCTCAACCCCCTCTCAGATTAGCATGGCTGTCAAGATATGATCAGAGAATAATTGATCTGATATTCTGGAAGAGTAAAACAAAATCCTTCTTCACCTTCAGTTGGATAATCACAATTTTGGTGGTCTTGCGAACCCACTCCGCCGCCTACGTCCTCTCCGCAGCACTGATGAGTCTGATGATTGTGATGATGTTGTTTGTGGGAGGGAGCACAGTACTTCAAGCTGCCACATTACACACAGCCAAACATCCGTTCGCTTCAACACTCTCCGGGGACATCACCTTACCTGAGTCCATGCAGAGCACTATATCAGATGTTCTCCTGAGTCTTATCAATGGTTCCCTGGACTTTGTCGGCAGGATCGTTCTTGTTCAGAGTTTTAGTTTGACCCTCAGAGCCATCACTCTGCTGTGGATTATTTGGGCCCACATTGATGACATCTACCTCCTACTCATTATTATGACCTGTGCTTTGTTCTTCATCCCAAAATTCTATCAGGAGCACACCGATACGTGTGAATCAGTAATTGAAGTGTACGAAGAAAACAGCCTTACTGGAGTTATCTCCGCTCAATTTGAAACCCTGGAGGCAGAGCAAGACGCTGCTAACAAAAACCCACTCAATGGAAATTTGGTGACAAATTCAAAAGAAGTTCTCACGGCGTCCATCACCGGGATACTGATTGTGTTGCTGGTGAAATATTTCCTGGCTAATGATCAGGGTGAGATTCCACATCTTTTCACTTATATTTGGTCTCTCTACCAATCTGCAGTGAAATCTAGTCAGTGAAATGTGTACAGATGTTTTCTTTTCTTGCTGTGCGCCTTTCCTAGAACGAAGAAACTGCTATTAAAATGTTTGTTGTGATATTTTATTCGATGACTAAATTCGAATGAATATCATCGGCATTACACATCAGTAATTTATTATAGGACTGCACCAATTGCACTGTTTCGGTTTATAGATCTTAATTTATGATTTTGTTCTGATATCATCATATATACATATTACATAATTACATATATTATGCATGTTGCCTTGCAGGTGTTTTTATGTTTTATCGTTTGAAATGTTTTGTATAATTGATTTGTTGATGGTGTAACATAGTCACTCATAATTATATAAATACATATTACATACGTTATACAAATAATAAATACGCGTCTTAATGTATCATCCACAACTGTAACTTGATTTGATTTCTATTTCTTTTTTAGCATGATATATAAATCAATTATTAAATCTGTAGGTGCTATCAGAATTGATCTGTTGTATTCAGTCTTGGATTAAAATATTAATTTTCGATTGCAGAATTATGATTTCCGCAATTCAAGGAATTTACGTTGCTAATCTATGATACAATCCATGAAACAAAAAATGAAAGCATCTATGTATGTATCCGGTATCGTCGATCACAAACTAAATAAAGCGAATTATAAAGTTTAAGCTGCTGTTAGTAGATGAAGTTATAGATGAATATATGATGAGTTGTGTGCTGAGTATGTGTAGGTATTGGGGGTTCTTTCCGAAAGTGAACTTAGTCAACAACTAAACTCTCAATTGAAGCAAAAAGTATTTCCGAAACAACTTTTAGGTGCGAAAACTTGTGTTTGATTTAAAACCTAAATTTTTACCTAAGTCAATAATTCAACTTAAGCTCTACAACGTTTTGAACTTAAATGTAACTGTGGTCCGGACACTACTTCAGTAGAATAGATGTATGTTCTTCATTATGGTATGATACAAAGAAATACAACGCCTTGATGTCAATTAAAATATAACGGGCAATTTCCTTTCTCCGTCCCCTTCCTCTCCACAGAAGGGTACTGTTCATGATGTGATCTCTTAAGCACAAAGACTGAGCGTTTAAAAGGAAGAATTCTTTGCGGTTGACATAGATCTCCTCGTTGGTTTTTGGAGCTTTCTTCCTTATCTGAGTTTCATCTATCGCTCTCGACCAACTACGGAACTGTCCCTACTCCGAGAAGCCTTCCTTGACTTTTTTAATTATGCTGACCTCGATCACGGACGGAAAATGCTCAAAGTGGACCATGATATCCAGGTGCCTCTGAAGTTCTAATGATTATCTTGAATGTGATGGATCTATTCACATGGAGAGTTTGTAGAGAATTTCCTGACACGAAGAAGTTGAGACTTCAGAGTGATATTTAATTGGTCGAGGGCAGATACTTCTGTTTTGGTGTGTGGTGCCTGTGTTGCCTCGAGTAAAATTGTGTAACTCGTAATTATCCAATTGTAGAAGCACTCCGACTAACACACAACGTGCAAATCAACAAAATGTCCGCACTGAACTGTGTACAGAGTTTTAAAGCTGAGTTTTAGTGCAGCTCAACAAATAATATACACGTGTCTTCTTATTCTTACGTGTACTTAATTGTAGTTTCGAAAACGACTCAAGTGCTAGACGCGAGTTAAATATATAAAAAGGTTAAAGTAAAGTGTCGGAAATACATAATAAGTAGAGTTTCGGAAACACTTGATACGAATTTAATTGAGTCACATAGTGTTCATTACTACCACTTAAAAGTGTAATTTTGGAAAGAACCTCCAGAATATTAATTGTAAGTAAATTTCAGTTTTGACTATTGTGCTATTTTGAATTTATTGTTTTGTGTTTTTGAATTAAAATGCTGTATTACATACATTACACTGAGTTCTTTTTATTTCGTCCAAATTCAAATTTTTTAATTCAATTATAATTCAAAAAGAAAGTAAATTCAGAGAGATAATTTTGAAATCTTACATATTATTATTAAACGATTAAGTGCTCAATGAGGATCAACTTCACCATAACATTAACGTCTTAACCTTTCGAATATTACTGACTTAATTAGCTATTTAAACTTATAAATGAAATATTTATAGGGAGCTGATATGGGTTCTAAATCCCGCTCCAGATCGAAGGAGAGAAGTAGAGGAGGTACGGTTGATAAAGATAGATCCAAATCTAAGGAGAAATCAAAATCAGAAGACAGACAGAGATCCAAAGAAAAATCCAAATCTAAGAGTAGATCCAGATCCAGGTCAAAACGCCGATCTAGGTCTAAAGACAGATCCAGATCTAAAGAAAAACGATCACGTAGGTCGTCCCGCTCAGGATCTCGCTCACGTGACAGGAGACATCGTTCAAAATCACCTGACCGACGTAGACGGAGATCCCGATCTGATTCGAGATCTCGGCACTACAACCGTTACAGTGACCAGTATTGGCGAGAACAAGGCGGCCCTGAGTACAGGATCGGACGAGACGGAACTGTTTATTACTACAGTGAACGAAACGGGAGACCCTTTGAGATTAGACCAGGAGATTGGACATGTTGTCGGTGCAAGCAGAATAACTTTGCGAGGAACAGGGAGTGTTATCGATGTAGAGAACTGAAGGGCAGTGCTGAGCTCACCATGGATGTGTGCCGGAGAGAGGGAAAGAAGGACAGGTCTAGGTCGAGATCTAGAGATAGAGATAGGCGGAGGAGAAAGTCTTCGTCACGATCTCGGGGTTCCTCAAGGAGGCGTTCTCGGTCCCGATCCGGCAGTGGAAGTAGCAGTTCCCGATCCAGATCAAGGAGTCCTAAGAAAAGCAAGAGCAGCAAATCTGCTGCAGAAATCGCTGCAAATTGAGAGGTATGTATAGTTGAAAAATGGTGACGAATTCTATTTCTAACGGCTCGATGATGTCTGCAATTTTTGTGCATACATTTTAGAGCTGGCACTCAACTTTGAACATTGACTTTTTGAGTCTAGTTGTAGTAATTTATTTCTATCAAGGACAAGACCTTTTTCCAATGTAGTGATTGTTAGAACTCACTTATCGACCAGAACCAGACCCTTGCTGGGGAAAAGTCCGGAAATATCTTTATTCAGCCGGGAATTATTTGAATAACAAAAACGCGTGGGAAATTTTTTGGCGAATTTCAGCTGAGGCAAGGCTAGGACCCGGTCGATCGGTAGAGCTACTGATATTTCCTAAAATTGTATTCAAATTACCCCTGGCTAACATTGTTATTGTTTGTGATTATTTAATAGCTTGAACGTTTTACAACTTGAACTGACTTGTGGCAGTTTAGACTCATTTTGTGTGTTATATGATATTTTCACGACGCTCCACCGCCGTGGTAGCCGCTCAGAACTGTCAGTATGCAGAATTATATTTTATTTTATTCCTGTATTTTCTAACTAACATTTGTTTCACCTGATTTGCTTGATAATGATTATAAGATATTAGGTTACATGTAATGGGGCTTAGTTCCTCCTAATATCAAATTTGAAAAATGAGAGTTACAAACTCTACAATTTTAGAACCTCCTACACTACTTAATAGCAGGTTCACGATGTCTTTAAAATATAGTTTAGAATTTCAATAACAAAAGCTCCTCTGCATAAAGACATCCGACACCTGCTCAATCAGAAAATTAAAAACTAAATTTTATAGCTCCTATTATAATAACTTTAAGAATTTAAGAACTATGGAGCTAATTATTTCTTAACGTTTCTTTTCCAGCACTTAGCCATGTTAATGCGCCCCACTACACGTCAACAAACCGTAACTATGCCAAACTAAAGTCTATTTTTCCTTTTTAGAGCGGTTCTGATAAGAAAGTGGTAACTGATAAGAGTGCTGATGGTAGTCGATAAGTTATTCCGATAAGATCTGATAAGATAAGATAATTGGTGAGGTTGATAACCCAAGATAAATCAGATAATGGAGACAAGTGATGTTGCGAGCTGGCTCAGCGCTAGCGGCTCAGTTGCCAGATTCCGTACAAATCCCTCTTTTGCCACCGTGATATCCTTCAAAACTGGTTACAACATATTTGTGGTCAGATGAAGCAGTCGTTCGGGGATCAACAGAGTGGATATTTGCCGGACCATCTTGTCATCTGTTGAACCAACTGCTAGTTTGTATGGGACAAAATACACTGTTTTGTTAAACTGCCAATATGTAGACGTATTTATATTGTGAGATGTTATTAGATATTATTAGTATGACTTAGTGAATATTTACATTATTAAGATTTAATTTATTCATTACATCACTTTTTCAGAAGTTTATATTCAGCACAGCTGACTCACTGTAAGAATGGTAATTTTATCGCAGTTATACGACTATCTTTTTCATACACAATAAACAGTTAACACATTCTAATATACTGTATCAGTATTTCAACTTTAAGCCACCACTTACGTTCATATTGTGTACCCATTCTACAGCTTACGTTATTTTATCCATTCGCATTTCCAATTTGATTTGAAGTTATTTTTGGCTACGGGATTTTATAATCTATACATTTTGAATTTCCATCTTTAATTGTAAATTGTGTTGGTTGTCTTGATATCTTACTTACTGTATTTATTGAATGTAACATGACATGAGATTGTTTACAATAAAGGTTAACCTCTTCAGATGACCAGGTGAAGGAACGTTAACAGCAGCTGATCATACGCTATCTATGACGTGTCCTATATTGTAAGCTTATGGTACTGTATGTGTATCTAAGTCTAGGACACATCAATTTAATGCTAAGTTGTAAACAGAAACAGTAGACTGTAAATAGTCTTCATTTTAAGTCTAGACATTGCATTAGTTTGCATTCCATGCAGATCTTGACAGTCTAACTTGGATGTCCTGAATGCAAATTAACATAGTTAATGGCACAGGGCACTTAAAAGCACTACACTTAAGTTTTTTCCTACGTATACAGAGAGACTTTTTCCATGTTGAGAAGTGGAACATATTAAGAGAGTTGTTGATGGATGAATGTTGCAACCTTTGCAGTTTGCATTATAATGCTTAATGCATTGAGAGTTAGTGAAGTGGGTAATGTGATATACTGGAGAGTAACATAGTTTAGGCGGCCACTGTATTATATGTGCACTTTAACGTGCAGTATTGATAGGCGACCTACTAAACATATCTGTACACTTGATTCGATTTATTTGCCGACAAATAGCAGTAACAGTAACAGGTCATAAAATATACGTTATTTTACATTACAAGCTCTAATAAATTACCTTTTCACAGGTGATATGGACTAACGAACAGTTGAAGTATTATCTCCCACTACAATTGTAATTTTACACTTTCTTCTTCTCTTACTCGAGTTTGAACTTACTTTCAGAGGCATCGCATCATGAATAATCCAACCACTTGAGATGGCTAAAGGTGTTATCAAGTGTTAGTTTAAAACTCTGTGCGAATTAAAGTATATTAATAATAAAGGACGCTTAAAATTTAAGAGAATGAGCTGAAGAAAATACACTTTTGAATGTGTCTGTCATTGAGAAGGAGTATGTAGCTTCAGTATACTGATAATTCTGCCTTGTTATCTAGGCAAGTCATGATCGAGATAGAATCAGAGGAGGTGATAGCCGAGAAGAAGGCAAAGAAGAAGGTGAAAAAAGATAAAAAGAAAGCGAAGAAAGCAAAAAAGGAAATGAAGAAGATTAAGAAGAAAGCAAAGTATGGAAATTTCAATGAGGTAAATTCCATTAGGTTTATAAATTTTTGCTAAACGTTGGGTAGTTCGTTACTCACTCTAAAGATATTGCTTCTTAAGGATGTCGACTTTCTACTTCAAATTTATATTATATCTCAAGTCTTTTACCACATTGCAATAATCAATATACTTATTTGGTAGAGTCCCATTAATACTTGCCTAAAATGCTAATTCTCTCTGCGAGCACATGTTGACGATACTCCACTAATTTTCAGGCGGCGTTGACAGTGTCAGAGTTAGAGGAACAGCAACGAAGACTGAGGGCGGCATTGAACATGTCCAGCCCTTCTGATGAAGAAGATGGTGAAATAATCGACAAGTGAGTTAAAAATTGTCTTTTTCCGTCTGCTTTAAAGAAACAAATAACGTCTTTAAGTTAAAGATCCTCGAAAATATCATAACTTTTAATGTAAAATGTATTAAAAGAAAAACACATCGCAGGTCTGGATCAGTGAAGAAAGTTGAGTACCCCTGGTTTGCTAAAACGTACAGTGAATCACCTCGTCACACGGAAACATCAGAACCACGTCAACCTTACCGAGAACCTCCAACACCCACTGAGGAGGACGCCCGAGTCCTCACACCCTCTCCTCCTAAAAAAGAGAAGAAATCGCACAAACACAAGTCCAAATCTCCCAAGAAAGATCGGGAACATTCGAGAAGGTCACATCGTTCAAAGTCGGGCAGTAGATCGAGAAGAGATAGCAGAGAAGATGAGAAGAGACGGAGATCGAAGAGAGATGAAGAGTCGGAGAGGAAAAGTAGGAAGACAGATGATAGGAAGAGACAAAGGAGTGATGAGAGGGAGAAGAAGAGGAGATCGAGGAGTAAGGAGGATAGAAACAGTCTCCCAGATCGCAAGTGAGTTTGGGACAACATTAACATAAAGTCTTCCGGTGACGTTTGTTTAACTCGACACTGATCAGACTGTTCTCTTTAACGATTGGAATGTTCCTTTCAATCAACTTACGTCAATAACTAAATTAACATAAATCTATCAGGATAAGTTCTACTAGGAAACGAAGCAGGTCACTCTCAAAGTCCAGCCTTAGTCCAAAACGTCAGAAGAGTTCGCCTAGACGTCGGGACGGTGGTAAAGATAACTCCGTTAAAACACGTGACCCTTCCCCTAAGAAGAGGGAGGCGACACCACCGAGAGCAGAAGGATGTCTGCCAACACTTCGCGTTCCATCACCAATCAAGTATAAACACAATCTTACATTTTTCTTCCTAGAAATACGAATAAGTTAGTGTTGCCCGTTTTATTTGTCACACTTTTTGATCTTAGTTTAATGTTTGGTTTTACAGGAACCAAGATAACGGCCAAGATCGCCCTTCAAAAGACCGACCTCGTTCTCCCTCCAGACGATCAGATAACCGTCAGCGCTCCCCTCCCAGACGATCATCAGATCGACCACCACACTCCCCAACCCGGAGATCTAATGACCGGCCCCCGGTTAGAAGATCAGCTGATAAACCACGCTCACCCTCGAGACGGTCTCCTCCGCGGTATAATCCCAGATATGACCGCGGACAAGCCCGACGGTCACCTCGACGGCAGTCTCCTCGACGGTGGTCACCTCGTAGCAGACTGAGGAGAAGTTATGATAGAGATAGGCCCGATGAGAGAAAGGAGAAAGCTCAGTCTTCTGATGACGAGTAAGTTGTCGGAATGAACAATATTTTTTATGAAAATAAATTCATCATTTCACCCAATTTTGGGCTTGAGGTTATTGTCGGTTTTTTGAAAATTAATTTGTTGTTTATTTCTTTTCATGAACTTATATTATATTTCAGGATCCTGGATATAGAGTTAAAAGAGAGTGATGATGAGGAAGCTATTATTGCCGCTCGAAGATCCCGACATGCGGATATCAAAGCTAAAATAGAGTCTGAAAAGAAAGCTGAGGAAGAAAAGAAGACTGTTGAGGCCAAAGAAAAGTTAGAAGAAGCGAAGAAAGTTTTGGAGGAAGAAAGGAAGAAAACTGCAGCTGCACGAAGGAAGAAGAGGAAAAGTTCTAGCAGTTCTAGTAGTGGTAGCAGCAGCGACGGTTCGTTCTTAGTTTTTTATTCTTTATCACAAGTTTTATATTCTAACAGTTTTAGCAAAGTTGTTGGTGTTTTTTAAACAATTAAATTATTGACTTTGGTTGATTAGATTCCACTGCTCGAGCTAGATTCAATTTCATTATCTTTCAATAAACGACCATTCATTTTCAAACCATCTATCTTTATATTATGTACAGTGTCTTTCTACTTAATTAGTAGCCACTTAATTTCAGATTCCAGTTCCTCCTCAAGCTCATCTGACAGTAGTGACTCTGAAGAGGAGAAAGCTAAGAAGGCTGACCCTAAAAAGAAAACGACAACAAAACACGAGGACGCTAAAAAGGTTGAAACCAAGAGTGAAGAACCCAAACTAAAGAAGGAAGAGCCAAAAGAGGGAAAGAAAGTTGAAGAATCGAGTGACGTTGAGGAAGTTAAAGAAAGCGTTGAGATTAAAGAACCCGCTTCAGATATATTTGGCGAACTCTTCACTGAGGTACGTTTATTAACATTTTTAAATTTACAGTGCATATTTAGTGTTGAAGTAAAACACGGTCACGCATAACTTATAACACTTATAACACGCTTAGACAATAGACATATGTGGTAAAGCTAACATTGTAATACGGACCGCTGTAATTTTACCAATCAAATGCCTAGCCATACAAGTGAAAACATATCTTTAACAAAAGTCGGAGTACGAGATAGATTTAACAATATTCCTGTTTCATTAAGATATTCCTATTTCTTTAAAATATTCCTGTTTCATTAAGATATTCCTATTTCTTTAAAATATTCCTGTTTCTTAACAATATTCCTATTTCTTTAAAATATTCCTGTTTCTTAACAATAATTCTGTTTCTTTAAAATAATCCTGTTTCTTTAAAATAATCCTATTTCTTTAATATAATCCTGTTTTTTTTAAATAATCCTGTTTCTTTAAAATAATCCTGTTTCTCTCAGAGTCCTACAGTAGCAGTTAACAACCAGAATGCTCTTGATAATCCTAATTTAACAGACAACTGGGACGATTCTGACGGATATTACAGTAAGTAATCATTAATTATAATCCCCTAAACTGGCAAATTCGTTCGCGTTTTGCCAGTTAGTTAAGTTGATCGCTTCAGCAAACTGAAAGGCTCTTTTCGAGTATCCAAACAATTTTAACAATTTTATCTCAATTCATCACCATGACTATGTAAACAGAGACTGCTTCTCGAAAGACGTTCAGTGGGTATCTGATAAGTATATACTTTCTTGCTTTCAACAAGTTTGTGTCCCCCCAGGAGTGCGTATAGGGGAGATCCTGGATAAGAAATACCAAGTGTACGGTTACACAGGACAGGGTGTATTCAGTAACGTGGTCCGTGCACGTGACACTACCAAGGGAGACAGCGAGGTCTGTGTCAAGATCATCAGGAACAATGAAATTATGTGAGTTTTTAATGGTGTTAGTTTTAGTGATTTTTGTTTTGATCACAGCCAGAAATTTTAATTTAGGCAAAGGTAAATGGTAAGGGGTGGAAATTCCTTGGACGAAATATTGGTCAATCATGTTAAAATCTAAATGACAAATATATTATTTAATTGATTATTAATAACACAAATATCAGGGAGAAATCAGGACAGAGAGAATTGGAAGTGTTAGCACGACTGAGACAAGCAGACCCAGACAGCAAATATCATTGTCTGACCTTGTACCGGTCCTTTACGCACAGGAACCATTTGTGTCTTGTATTCGAATCTCTCAGGTTGGTTGAATTGGTGACTGTTAAGGGGGGGGGGGGGGGCCGGGGGGACCAGAAGCTCATAGCAAATGCTGTCAGATTATTTTCAAAAGCTCCCTGGAAATTTGTGTCAAACAATCAGGATTGTGTTGACACATCAAATCAGACGGCGTGGCACAATTTTTGCCCTGTACGTGTTTTTTGTTGTTGGAAAGTTGGAAGGGCACACCGTGATATTCTGAGGAAAGTGAACTTGTCTTTTAATTCTAGGTTAGAAAATTTCAACACCTACGCCCCTAGTTTGCTGAACTCTTCATAATTGGTATAAAGCACCTTTTACTTCTTCTACAACACGAAAATAATTATATTTACAACATTTCTGTAGACTTCTAAGGTTTAGAAAACAATCGACCGTTTTGGTTATCTGGTAGGTCACCTTTAATATCCACTTTTGCGCCTACGCGAATGGTTTATTTGTGTACAAAACATCACAACTTACAACTGAAAAGTAAACAGTCGTGCGCGCGCGCCCTGCCCTGCACTGAACTTAATTAATTTATTCCATACATGCATAATAATAATATTTTCTCCTAAATAACTAAATACTGCACTGAATTCTATGCTGGTTAATACAAGTAAGCTCTTCACAGATAATCAGCTATTCCTGGTCTATGGCAGGGTGTGTCCCTGTTCAGGAGCCCGCCCAGTTTTACCACCACCTGCCACATGGTCAGTGGTGTTACAGACTTCAGTAACAAACCTGACCTTTACTATCCTCCTTAATTACAGCCATGTCAACGTGTCTCATTTGATCGATCACTTTCAGCATGAACCTACGAGAGGTTCTGAAGAAGTACGGTAAAGACGTGGGTTTACACATTAAAGCTGTTAGAAGTTACAGTCAACAGCTCCTCTTTGCACTGAAGCTATTGAAGAAAAACGGAATACTTCATATGGACATTAAACCAGATAATATCTTGGTAAGGGACATTTTCTTTTACAGTGTAAAACATTTCACAGATGTTGTGAAAAACATCTTTAAAATCATTACCTGATCAACCATCAACATTTTAAAACTAACTGTTAATTCCCTCGTCCTAGGTAAGCGAGAACAAGCTCCAGTTAAAGCTGTGTGATTTTGGCAGTTCTTGTTACGCTAACGAGATCGAGGCGACACCATATCTAGCCTCCAGATTTTACAGAGCCCCTGAAATTAGTGAGTACTTTTATTTCGGTATTATATATTTGGCGTTGTCCGACAGGGAATGCTATGTTGCGGTAATCAAAACTCCTCTCCAGATCTGAACATATCATAACTGCAGTACAAACCATGGGTAGGATATGACTTAGCCCTACCATCGTATCACACTATCACAGCTCTTAATTATTTCAGTTTTGGGTAACAGGTACGACTATAACGCTGACTTGTGGGCGGTCGGGTGTACTTGGTACGAGCTTTACACAGGAAAAATCATGTTCCCAGTAAGTTCACTTTCACACCATTCTTATTTATCTGAAGTGAAGAATATGGTATCGTTAAAAGTATGTATACAGTATACACGCTGACCTTTTAAAATTGTCAACGCTATTCAAATATTACATGACATCCAGGGAAAAACGAACAATGAGATGTTAAAGTTAATGCAAGATTTGAGGGGAAAATTCCACAACAAAAATGTCAGAAAGGGTGCATTCAAGGACAACCACTTCGACAACAATATGAACTTCCTGTACTCCGAAGTAGACAAAGTTACCGAACGTGTAAGTGTAATCTAGGTTATTTTAGTTAAGCTTTTAATATTATCTTCTAAATCCAATCTTATCTGCATCCTTATCAAAAATAAGCTTATTATTTCGTGTACTATTCTGAGCACACTTATAGGTAACAATATCATCTGCACTATTTTATTTTCAGGAGAAAATCACAGTAATACACTCTATAAACCCCAATATAGATCTACTTCGAGTTTTAGTTGGAAAACAGAAAAATTTATCCGATGAACAGGTCAGTTTACATTACTGGTTAATATTAGTTGGTAGCATTGTTAGCGGATAATGCTGCCCGTTTTTTCTCGGTCGTCCAAATTGAGGGGTTGTTGTGAGTGGTCTTATGTGAACTTTAAGACTGTCCTACATTTTGAGGATGATATCGAGAACGTCTTCTAAGCGATTAGCTCGACCGAACTATTATCTCTAATTATAGGATTATTCGGTTTATGGGTACAATTACCCGGTGATTATTTTAATATTCCTGCATTACAAGATCTACACGCACCAGTTATCACTTATCAACTCTCCTCTGTTTCAGATGCGAAAAGTAACGCAGTTCAGAGACCTTCTCGACAGAATGATAGTTCTTGACCCAACCAAACGAATTTCACTTAACGATGCTCTCAGGACTCCGTTTATTATGGAGAAAATGAAATGAAAAGTAGCTGTTAGCTTCTCTCGATTTGACGCAATTTATAATTGGCTTGTTTCTGCATAATTTTTTATCGAATGCAGAAAGATTTTGCCAAGTTTTATGTTACAGTAAAAGTTTTTTATTAGTTTAAAATGTAAAGAATGGGATTGCAGAAGAGTTTTGTTGCTGTACAGACCAAAAATTTTCATATTTTGACTTTTTGATGGTTGAATAAATTGCAGTTCAGTTCTCGAATTTCAGAGATGACTCAACTGAGACTGTCTCAGTGTCTCATGTTGACTGTTATCTTTTCTCCATAATTGCTTTTCCATTTTCATTGATGTATTACAGTCATATATAGCGTATTTTACTTGTACATTTCCTTACAAATCACATAGTATGATCATGCGTGTTAAATTATGATGAAGTGTGCAAATGGAAAAGGAAGCAGGATCTGAAATAAATTATACCAACTCTCAGTCTTTAACTCGTGTGCAATGTGACCAGTGTCCAGTTCTCGGCGACTGAGGAATCATTATCATGTTTAATGGAGATTTGACGCGCCGGAGGCCTTGTATCACGTCGTGACCCCCATCGTCGTTTCACCCTATAGAGTTTCTACGATACAGGCAACAGGGGGAGCCGTGCACTCGTGCGCGGCGGGTCGTACAACGGAGACCGCCGCGCGCGAAAAGGGGTTGCAACGTGTCAACCCATCACCTACCAACTGAGCCACCCTGCCACGTTACAAATTGACAATATTTTAATTCAAATTTCACTCTGATAGTGAACAAATTTAGAAATTGATCGGATATCCGGGTAAATATTGATAATGACAACGTAATATAATATTTGAACGAGATTTAAAATCTAAAACGATGAACGACAATATTAATATTGTACAGGTATCATTGGTGTTGCCTCATTTAATTCCTCATGCCGTGGGCCAGCTGCTGCGGCTTTGCCTACATTGTGGCTTTCGCCATTACTATAGGTACGTTTATACCTGAAGTGAGGATCGCGACGTGAGACAAAGTAGTAGTACTGACCCGGCGCGCTCTTGTCATACGTTGTATGACCCGCCGCGCACGAAGTGCGCGGCTCCCCCTGTAGCGTCGAAGACGCCACTATATAAGTGAAGCGACCGTGGGGGTCACCACGAGGTACAAGCGCGCTCCATTTATTGATTAGCTGCACTGGACCAAATTTACATTGACGGATGTTACTCGTCTAAATTTCTTCGAAGTAGCACGCGCCGCTTTCTTCTCGAAATATTAGCGCGCCGGGCCAGACCATTAGCAATGGTTGATACATGTTTCGTATACATGTTTCGTATCCCAATATCCCTTCGGCGGCGCGCGCTTCGCGCGCGAAAAGTGGCATGCAACGTATGTCAAAGCAATGGTCAAAATTTACCTTACTGAGCGCCGCCCAGTAACTTATTCAGTAATCATGCATAGATTTGGTCGATCTTACTAAGTAAGACCAAATCTTTATCTATGCATGATTTAATTGACGATGTCAATTCCAAATTCATGGCAGCTCGGCGCGGCACAGTAGCGCATCTCGCCGATCTAGCCAGAGAAGCCTCATTGAGTGCGCGGCGCGGCACAGTAACGCATCGCGCTACAATCTAGATCGCTGTGAGAAGCCTCATTGAGTGCGCGGCGCGGCACAGTGACGCATCGCGCTACAATGCATGATTAGTAATTTTCATGTGTGATGTGGTGCATCCGGGTACGGTTGCACGAACAAAATATGGGACTGGGAGTTGTGATCACTCCTCCTATGTCCTGGCATATCCACTGAACGGCTTGACGGATGTTACCCGTCTAAATTTCTTCGAAGTAGTGCGCGCCGCTTTCTTCTCGAAATTTTATGGTCCGAGGCAAGTGCTACGAAGTAGCACAGCACACTCAGGGCTTGACTCTTGAGGGCTAGTCTATTAACAATGGACAACTGTGAACTGAACGGCGCCAACCGGCCACTTCAGCTCTTACTAATTCGCTCGCCCAAAAATTTCACGTGACTTTGGTTTTTATGGTTTTGAAGCCGTACAAAACGGTTTTACATAATATAAACCCTAATCCCAACCCCCCTAACCAATACCATAACGGGTCACTTCGCCATATCTTCGGTTTTTGAATACTTAAGCCTGAAGTCCTCAGGTAACGATCCATCCCCAACCGTAGAACTCGAGCGTGGAACGAAGATTTATAAGTAAAAGTCTGAGATTAAATAACATTAATACCAAAACGTGAAAATTACAGCATAAATTCTTCTAACTAACTAAGTTCATGATTAACATCTGATCCAGATAAGTGGCAAAAATTCAGGACTCGATATAATTAACTTCGGGATTGTAATTTAATCGAATCAACAAAATCCTAACATAGGGACTCTATAAATACATTAATAAATCAAGACTCACAGAGGACAGTAGTTAATTATATTATTGATTTGGGTGAAAGACAAACTTCATGCATTATTTGCCGTGTCAAGGTGAAAGAAGAAAAGTTTGACTGCAGATCTGCAACATACGATATCGTAAAATTGCGGGTGATTTACAATCAAAAGTCTTATATTTATAAATTAGGATGGTTTGTGTTCAACATGTACAAAATCTATTTAAAATGTCGAGTCTGATTAGTTAAGTAGGATAACCAATTAAGAGGGGTATCTCTCCAGGATCTGTCCAACCGCCTGAAAGAAATTAATACGTTATTCGACAGTACGGTAAGACAATTAAGCGTCATTACAATAATTATGCACTACTGCCAATTAGACTACCTCGCTACTTCCTATCCTTTGTTATCATAGAACACAGGTTCAGATTACATTTTTAATTTTACAGCAGCTGTTTATTACTTTTTTAGTCGAAGATTTTCCAATTAGTGCCAACGAAATCAAAAATATGTTCCTCATACTAAAAAATAAGTGAAAGAAGAAAAACTTGACTGATATTAAATGGCACTCACATGACCACCAGCCGCGCACGCAGCTAGAAGTGCAAACTGTCCGTCCTCGTGGATCAGTCGGTTAGCTGCCATAGTGGTTATTCGGACACCTGTGGCTCCGAAGGGGTGACCAAGGGAGAGGGACCCGCCCCAATTGTTAAACTTCTCCAAGGGGATCTCACCGAACTGAAATATGAATTGTTTATATGATGGTCGTCATTAAGTGTAAGTGGGAGTCATTATACTATTCAATACCATATTGATCCGTAGATGACTCAAATATCTCATCAAGTTCCTAAAAAATTGTCCAAAAGTCCTGTCCATCGCCTTTAAAAATATTTATCCTCAACCATCAACTCACCGCCTCACTCCTGCCCATGTAATTTTTACAGAAGCTCTCGCTCTTAAGGGCGTTAAGAACTGCTAGGATCTGTCCAGCGAACGCCTCGTGGAATTCGTACACGTCAATATCGTCCTTTGTCAAACCAGCTCTCTCCAGAACTTTGTTTGTTGCGTAGGATGGACTGAAAATGTGTTTAATAGTTTAATATGACAGATATTTATTGAAGTTGAATTGTAAGCGACACCAAATGTCAGAATAACAAGGATCCAGACAATAAACCTAATGGACATTGAAGTTTGAACATTAGACTAAACTTACCCGAGCAGAAGCTGTTCCTTAGGGTCACGAGCCACGTAACAATATTCCCGGAGATAAGCCTTAGGCTTGAAACCCAGAGCAAGAGCCTTGTCCTCTCTCATAATAAGACACGCGGACGCTCCGTCAGTCAGAGCTGAGCTGTTAGCGGCAGTGACTGTGCCGTTTGGTTTTATAAACGCGGGCTTCAACTTGCTTATCTTTTCTAGCGTGTTCAATTTAATCGTGTTATCAGTTGAAATTTTCTCAGCAACACCAGGCACTTTGACCGTCAGAACGTCACTAAGGAGCCCCTCTTTTGTTGCCTTGTCAGCGAGGGAGTGGGACCGGAGAGCGTATTCGTCTTGTTCTAGACGGGACACGTTGAACGAAGCAGCCAGACGGTCTGCAGAGTGTCCCATAACTTCACCGGTACTGAACTCTGCTATCGCTGGCATCTGTGCGGAGAAGGTTTTTAGTTTACAAGAATTGGCCAGATTGAAAAAACATATTAAAATATTGGTGAAATTATACAATTTTATAAAACAATTAAATTTGAGATTAAAACTATTTGAAATATTAAAAATGTTTCGTACCTCGATACCGAAAACATCCTTTAACTTGATCCCCCTCATGTGTCCAACCATCTGACCAATACTCTTGTTCTTCTTCTTCAAGTTCATGGAAATGAGCCTGGTCCTCAACTTCCTGCTCAGCCTCAGTGGAACATCTGACATGGTCTCCACACCGCCAGCTATCACGCTGTCCACCGCGCCAGTCCTGATCATGCCCATGGCGTCAGTTATAGCTACGTTGGAGGAGATACATGCAAGTGTTACTGTGTGCGCTGGGATTGTGTCGGGAAGTCCAGCTTCGAGCATCGCTTCTCTGGCTATGTTGCTGGTTTTAGGCTCCTGAAAAGAATGTGGAATATAATTATCCGATACCACTCAGCTCTACATTTTTTCACTTTAATCTGCCTCCCCTCCCCCACTAGTAGTACTCATGTTATACGTAAAGTAAAATAGTACAATGTACATTCTACATTCGATCATGATGTACCCTAGGCCTATTATGCAGAATATATTAGTTGTCATTATGTGTGACGTGTATATTGCTAATGGCGAGAAATTCCAGCTTCTAGATGTTATTTAAAGCTTCATAATCGTGTTTAACACAACCTGGTAGTTCTGCTACCAACCTGGTAGTTCTGCTACCAACCTGGTAGTTCTAATACCAACCTGGTAGTTCTGCTACCAACCTGGTTATTCTACTTCGGAATATGTTATCTCCGTTTATAATTATAATAATCGAGTTAATAATAATCTAGTTAGGAACGTAACTCGAGTAACATGCACTTGAACGAAGAATAATTACCGTACACACTTGTTAACTTACACGTGTTACAACAAACACGTATTAAAACTTACACGGAATATGCAATATTCTAGTGTGGATTTTACGAAATCAGAGATGAAGGAAAGTTTTCATTGACGCACGAAAGTTTAGTGAAGTGTTGCACGCTCAAAACACTAGATTGTTGCAAGGTCTTGGGATCCTCACAATACATAACTCTTCGTTACAAAATAGAAATAGGAGGGGGACAGTTGCCAATTTTTGAGTTTTAGTTGTGGTGAAGGACAGTTAAGAAATGTTTAATTTAAATGTAACTTAATAACCTTGAAAATGTAACTCAATCTTTTGTTTCATCCCATAGCTTTTCTTACGATCATCTTCTCAATTTACAACATCACTCTAAAGTTCATCACCGGTAATTCGGTTATGAAGAGTAACAAGATCATACCTGCCTACTAATTTTCGGGGAAAAAATGTAGTAAAACATTCACGTTGTTCAAATCTTAATTCCTTAATCCCTATAATGCACTGTGAAGTCACTGTTTATGTAGGTATATCCGCAAACAATTTTATGAAGGGCGCGACATGGACTGTTTAAGCCAGGCCCCGGCTTGGTGGTTTGACTTTTATTGTCTCAAAACGGACTTTTATTTTAAAGTAGGACTAATAGACGGGCATACCGCGAGTAAAGTTAATGTACCTGGATAACAGTTCCGCAGATCACGTGATCAATGTCTTTGTGCTCTACTCCCGTCCTCTTCAGCAGACCACTGATTGCCATCTGTAACACAGTTTACCGTGTCAGAGGTAAAACTTAACTCATTTTCTGCTGGTGATCCCAAAAAAGTCGAATCATGTTAAACTCTGGCATTACCTTTTGTACTCATTTTAAATCTTTCTTAACGTGAAAATTTACTAAGCCTATTGCATTTGTTGAAAAGAAGTTTTCTGAAAGTCCCAGCAGAATCAGCAACTGTAACTTACCTTCTGAAGGTCATGTGCCATGAGTTTCTCATAGCCACTGCAGGATGTTTGGAAAGGTGTTCGGACTCCATCTACCAACACTACGTTCTGTGACGGATCTGAAGTAGACAAATGGTATCAGTTTACTCATTTTAATGTGTATGGTAACTGTAAAGGAGGGGCCGAACTAAATCCACTTCTAAAAACACGTACTGGCGGTGCGAGGTTGCAGCAAAAATTACAGAAACAGTTAAAACTAAAAATTAAGAAAATTTAAATTCATGCTTTTTTCTCGCTGTAATTGCATTAATTTGATTATTCTAATTGACATTCACTAACCATTGTTTGCCGAAGAGAATGCAGCACGAGATATGTTCAGAAGATTCTGGGGCTTAAGGCTGATACGTCCTAATACTGACATACTGCCCTTGGAAAATGGGAATGATAGTTCAAGGTAGTTACTGGGGTTACTCAATAATCAATATAAGCTGCTCCACTACATTCTGAAATTGACATAATAAACTGAAATTTGCAACATAAACAACAAGTAAATATTCAATTTTCGAAGCATTACAGTAAATTGTGCAGTAAAGTCAATATTCAATATAATAATAAGTACGTGGTAACTGGAATACATTAAAATACATGTTCTACATCCGGTTACAAGTGTGCTGCGGGGATAAAAACAATCTGTGAGAAACATAAATAAAAGTAAAACCTTCCTTCAATAACATCGTTTGTCGAACCGCAATATAACAGTGGTGCATTGCAGATAGCACCATGCAGCTTAGTCAGATTCGAATGTTGCAATTGATCACATCAAGGAAGATATATATTTATGTAAGATCGGTTGCGTTGATCTGAATTAATTGCAGATTTTGTGAGGAATTAGGTTCATCTGACGTCTCCGAGTCCGGTATCTGTCCATTTGAACTCCTGGTCCTGAATACTTTCTACAGCAGTCACATCTGTGTCGTTCTGATTTGGTAAGGCATCTTCAGGAACGGGTATGTCGTTGCTTGGCAGGGCATCTTCTCGCCAATCGTTGTCTATAAGGTCTATCAACCGCTCCCGTCGAAATGGAGCAGTTGCCATTTTGTTAGCTATTGTTCGGAGAACTATTTAAAGAATTGGGCAAAAAGAATGATGTGAAAATGAGATTTATTCACTCACAAATAATAAATATTGATCGGATATTATGTTTCGTGACACTAGAATTTTCATGACGATTTAGCTTAAACGGTTTTGCCAGTTTTTCCAGAGTATGCGGGGTTGACGATGGAACTATAAGAACACTTGAGTCTATAATTTAAACAGATGATATAACTGAAGGATACATTTGAAATACATGTTATTAACATTAAAACTGCGATATCCGAATAGCGTAAAAAGTATTTACCTTTCTGTAAGAGTTTTAAGTGTAAAATAGCTTGAATTTAATGTTTAATCGAAAATTCGAACGTAGCCTACAACGAACTTAAACTCTGATAGGTAGTAAGGCTATATATTTGATTCAAAACATCAGATAAGAATCGATAAGAGTCGTGCAGCAACGTACGTAAGAGGACAAATTGTTGAATAAATGTAGCGTGTGGACTTCGCCAATGCCTACAATATACTCTCTTTTTAGCAGGCGTTCTGCATCGAACGCCTGTTGCGCGCTGGATTCGGTAGTTGTACTTCTCAACCATACATTCTAGCAACGTCCAGTTTGTTGCGTCTTGCTTTATATCGTCCATGATAATCTGACTTGTTTGTATCAGTTTGAACCATGTTACACGGATTTCGACCATTCAAGAACTCAGTGAACCATGTGAGACATCTCCGGAACAAGATTTGTACTCGAGGTTTGTGAACTTGTTTCATGTTTTAATCATTAGGCTAGGTGTTAAGTACGCCATTTCATTGACTGATTTATCGTTCACTAGCAGACAAGTGACAACAGTTTTGAAAAAGATCGAGTTTTTCTGATAAAATATTTGCTTGTTTATTATCCTAGTTATCTTATTAACCTTTAACAGTCATATACATAATCTGGATCCGGTACTGTGTGTAACGATGTATGGTTGTGTAACTTGTAGTTGTGGGATATCATGGATATGCATATTATGTATATTCCATATCTCAACATACCGTTCCACCTCTATTACCCGCTTCTTTTTTTGCAGGTTTAACCAACAAACATTGCGAAACAAGCATCAGAAATGGTGTTGGGATCCTTAAATTTGACACTCCGGGATCTAAGGTATGTTTATTATCAAATACTTGTGTGCTGTGCTTGTTTTGCTTTCGTAGTTCTCATAAATCTAAAAAAGGTGAAGATTTACTGCAGAATATACAACTTTTTGTTCACATTCTTATTTTCAGGTAAATGCTTTGAACGAAGAGTTCAGCTTCGATTGTAAGGAAGCTTTCATAGAGCTGAGAGATAACCCAGAAGTTAAAAGTATGGTTTTCATGTCAGCCAAACCAGACTGTTTTATAGCTGGTGCAGATATCAAAATGCTTGCAGCATGCGAGTCTAAAGAAGAAATTATGGAATTGTCTAAAGGTAAGCTTGTAAAGTTATCGTTCTTGATCCTCTTTCACCCTAGATTTGACTACTGATTCTTTATTGGTTGATTGGATGGGACCTGGACGGTGCCGGCATTTCTAATAACTGTTTTACAAAAAATATGATTACATAATAATATGATATCAAAATCCTGTTAAACTTAGTAGAATAGATGGATGTAATAAAATTATTAGATGACAAACTGCTCACAGATTCAGGAGACAGGTAACACTAACGTGATGAAAACAAAATTCCGCTGCCTACTTGACTAAACCAATTTTAAATCTCAAAGACTCAGTCTTGTATGGAAAATAAAATATGGAGTATAGCTTATCAGTAATATTGATGTCACATACACCGGGTTGAAACTCGATAGTTACATTTCAAGCTGGTTGCTCTTGTTTAGCAAAATGCAATATTTTTTTCTAAATTTTAAAAACTAATATGCACATAATTGCCTTGCAGGTGGCCAGGAGTTCATGCAACAGATGGAGGACTGCAAGAAACCAGTAGTGGCTGCTATAGCTGGTAGCTGCATGGGAGGTGGTCTTGAGATTGCACTGGCATGTCATTATCGTGTTGCACTGGATACAAAGAAGACCTCTCTAGCTCTTCCAGAGGTACCTTTAATCATCACCCAACTTTAATCAGGACTAACAAAAGTGTATTGATATTCAGTAGCACCTTATAAATGGGCGTACAGGCTCCAAATAGTTTCCAATACAATTTTTACCCTCTTGCTCAGTTTCCACTCATTGTTGCATAGCTTCTCCCTACCCCATAACAACTGGTAAACATGTTCCCTTTTCAGGTAATGTTGGGTCTATTGCCCGGGTCAGGAGGTACCCAACGTCTACCACCACTGATAGGCCTTCCTAACGCTCTACCCATGATGCTGACAGGCGCTGGAAAGAATGCCAAACAAGCCAAGAAGCTCGGACTTGTGGATTTGGTCATCAAATCATTAGGTAAGCTTTTCAGAAACTTTTTCGTGAATTGAAGTTATGTAATTATTCCAATCCTCTCCCCTACTTCACGAAGTTGTTTAACTTGCATTACATACTTTACCAAACTTTGCAGTTTCTGATAGCTTAATGAGATAAAATTAAACATTTCATAGGTCCTGGTGTGAAAGACCCTAAAACTCTAAGTCACGATTATCTTGAGAGTTGTGCAGCAGATGTTGCTAGGCAACTAGCTGACGGAACTCTGAAGAAACCCAAGAGACAAAGTCAGGAATGAAAGGTTAAGAGCTTTACAAACACAAAAATGAACAATTTATTGTAGACATTAAACTTAGATCAAGATTTCAGAATAGTCATTCTCCTCACTTTGATCGATAACCAAACAATTTTGTTCCACCTCTAATGTTGAACTTCTGTAACTACGGTTACTATTTGATCTTGAAAATATTTTTCTTTTTTATGACTCTTAAACATGTTCCCTCCAGGTCTGTCATACAATCTACCCTTGAAAAATAAGTATGTGCGGAACTATGTGTTCAAGACAGCGACAAAGGAGGTAATGAAGAAGACACACGGTCTGTACCCTTCCCCACTGAAGATCATTGACTCAGTGAAGAACGGGTTGGAGAGCCCATCTACTGGGTACGCCAGGGAGTGTGAGGTGAGCTGGAGTTTCGTTGTTTACTTAATCGCGGAGATTATATTATAAATAATAATTTGTTGATTGAACTGATAAAATGCTGTTTTTGTTAGATGATAATCACTGGTCAGTACCGATTAACTAATACCAATCTTATTTTCATTCATATTACATCACATTAATTTTCTTGATCCAATAAAAGTCCACAGATGTTTAGATTCTTCTTAAATGACACCTCTTCTCTCCCAGAACTTTGGAGATTTAGCGATGACTGACGAAAGCCGAGCTCTGCAGAGCATTTTCTTCGGGAAGCAAGCTTGTGAGAAGAACCACTACGGAAAACCAGAAAGGATGCCCCAAAACATGGCCGTATTGGGCGCTGGTTTGATGGGTGCTGGCGTTGCTACTGTGAGTTTGTTTTGTTTTCCACTCCAAATAAATTTTATTGCATTTGCTGCATAACTCATAATAAGTATGACCCTAGCGGGGGGGGGGGGGGGGGGGTACCAATGGCATAAATGGCATAATGGAGAATTGGACAATAAAAATTTCCATTTATGCCATAAAAACGTATGCCATTTGTACAATTTTATGCCATTTTTCTCCATTCTATGCCATTGGTATGAGCCTGTTCACAAATATCTAAGTTATGAAAATACCGTAGATTATGTTGTGAGTACCGAATACTGATCATCTCTAATGTGATCCGCAATTGGCATTACATGATTGATATGCAATATTTCTATTATATCTGCTCCAAATCGGGAACAAACTGTTCCATGGAAGCTGAGCTGATGTAACTTGACACTAACGAGAATATTTCGTGACGACTACATCGAAGTTTTAGTAGAAACTTAACCAGATTTGCCTTTTATTTGATCTACAATATTTCCAATATATCTGGTCCACAACGGGAACAAACTGTTCCACGGGCCGGGAGCTGAGTTGATGTAACTTGACACTAAGGAAAATTTTTCGTGACGACTACAGCGAAGTTTCAGTAGAAACTTAACCAGATTTACCTTTTAAGATAAGGAAACAAGGAAATAAAGGTGTTATATGCGTATATATTATTCTGTTAAAGTACATGACTGTATTTCCTAAATGTGCGATGGCAGTGCCACCTCAAACCTATTTGGACGTATGTGACGTACACACTACACACTGCACACTGCACAGGTACACATTATACCATGTAGCAAAACAGCCAAGTATCATACGACCTGAGTCCTGACTTCTACCTGAAACAAGCTTTGCATTTTAGGGATAATTATGCGCAATCCCTCTAGTTTCTACCAATTAGCATAACCCCCGGGATATACAGCCACTCTAACCTGAATCTACTCTGTAATCAGGATTCAGGTTAGATAGTTCTCCTCGTGTATCTAGATCAACTATCTTTCTGAACTAGATAGTGACGTTATTTGTCCCCCAGGTGAGTTTAGACAAGTTCCCTAAAGTGATCCTGAAGGATGTGTCGGATACCTGCTCTCAGTAAAGGAGAGGACATGGTCAGAGATGTCTTCCAGAAGAAGGTTTGCAGTTTTGACATTTGGCAGATTGACGTTATGTTTCTTCAATCTCTTATCTCTATAAGTTTTATATTTTATGACAACCTAGATCTACTTGTGTGCGATATGCATTATTAATCTACGAGATTGTAAATCAACTGCAGTTATACAATTTGTGGGTAAAAAAACAAAACCTGGTTAGTTATCATTAGTCATTACGTACAATACCACATTTGAAATGTTGGCAACAAGTTGAAACCCTCCGACTACAGGTGAAGAGGAAGAAGATGTCCCAATTTGATTGTGATAAGCTGATGTCATCCCTTCACACCGAAGTTGATTACAGTAGTTTCAAAGATGTTGATATCGTTATAGAGGCTGTCTTTGAAGATATCAACCTGAAACATCGTATCATTAAAGAGGTGTGTAACCCCTTTTTTTGTAAACCAGTAGTTACTTATACTAGTTTTCATATTAAGATAACCACGATGTCTGCAATTATATCTGGACCTGTGTGGAATACTAAACTCTTATCCGATCTAGGTAGAAGCTGCAACACCAGACCACTGTATATTCGCCAGTAACACATCAGCTCTTCCCATCGGCGACCTTGCTAAAGCTAGTGTCCGACCAGAGAACTTCATTGGTGAGCACCCTAGCACTTTTAATATTATCGTATCAATCCTGTCTTTCCAAAATATTATGTCCCAAGTTTTCATTCTAAACCTGGGTATGGTTACTATAATGCTAACATAAAACTCATTGAAACCTATCAATCTTACATCTTGGTGCAATTTAGTATGCATCATTAATATTTGCCAACCGAAACTTAACCACTTCTCACCTCACAGGAATGCACTACTTCTCCCCCGTGGACAAGATGCCACTGTTAGAGATAATCACAACAGATCAGACGAGCAAGGAAACCACCGCTGCAGCAGTGGAAGTGGGACTCAAACAGAAGAAAACCGTTATTGTTGTAAAGGACGGACCTGGCTTTTACACAACACGAGTTATTGGCGCCCTGATGGGGGAGGCGTTCGCTTGTATTCAGGAGGGTACTAGTCCTACTGATCTGGACAAGCTGTTTGTTAAGTTTGGCTGGCCAGTTGGAGGTGCTACCCTTGTTGACGAGGTAGGGAGATAACTTCAGGGATTTCTATATACATTTAGGCTATTTTTATAAAAAATACACAAGTCAGACGTCAACTTCAACTTTGGATAAAATATTCAGACCCATCTCTCTTCCAGGTTGGTATTGACGTGGCGTACAAGGTAACAAAGTACTTCCTGGAGGTGTTCGGAGAGAGGATCAGTGCTGGAGATCCCAGGGTTATTGAGGAGTTGGTGGAGGCTGGTTGTTTGGGACGTAAGAGTGGTAAAGGTGGGTCCTACATTTTTAGCTTCCTTTCACTGTATTACTGTTTTGTTGATTAAATCTTCTGTAACTCTGTTGGTTGTATACTGTATAAGGTTGTTATCAACATTTCTTAACAAACAATAACTGTCTGATGTATCTCGATTTTCGGTGGATCCGCTTTTTTAGTCCTTAAACTCAATGGCCAATAAGAACGGTGTATACTGTATATGTAGACTGTAGATACTGTAGAGTATTAGTTAGCTGAGAAGTTTACAAATGTACCCTTGTTGTGTACTTCTGTGTTTAATTAATGTTTAATTATAAATAAGGCGGAAACTTACACTAATTTTACATCCTTTATGGACAAAAATTATACAGAACTACGCACTAATTACCTTCAACTCTCAATTTCATATTCAATAAATAAGCAGTACAGCTACAGTTTTAATGAAAATAAATCTATCAATACAAAAAAAGTTTACACTCTTTTAAAAAATTACAATCTTATGTTTACTTTTTTCCCTCGCTTTATACTAACATTTCGCTTTATTTTTCAAGTATCTCTTCTTTGTTGAACTTGGAAAGAACTGGCAAGAATTTATCCTCGTGCGTATTTTGTTACGGTAAAATCCAGGATCACGGGGCCATCTCATGATAAACTTCTTTTTAGCTTTGAAGTCATAAGCTCTGCCACACTCCGCTGCCGACTTTTTGGTGATGAGATAGATCTTTTGCCCTCTTAAACTTTTCACGTCGGTTCCTTGCCTCATTATGGATATAACTTTCGCCTCCACAGTTAATTCTTGAAGGTTACTCGCTGACTTTACCTCTCTCACAATCCTGATTTCAACGACCGGTAAATCAGGGTCTTCACAGAACTCTTTTTTGAGTTCGATGGGCGCACATTTACAAGACAACCCCACACTTAGAGTGAGACAGAACCCCACAATATTTAGTGTGTTCATGCTTACTGAGGGGAATGAAAGTTTAAAGTTTAAAAGTTTGTGAATAAAGCTTTTAGGCCATCAAACTGAAGAGACTTGCTAGAAGCAAATACATGGTGAAAATCGAACAATGTAGAATAATCTCAGTGATCAAAATGTTAGTGAGAAAAACGCCAAACAAGTTGCTATCGACACGTCCTCATACGAATTGATGTATGTTCCTTAAAATATGTATCATATCAGTTGTACTAACAGCACTTCTCCTGTGTGTAAACAATCACGGACTCACGGTTAAATATATTCGGGGTAGTTATAGTGGTGGGGCAACCAGCCTTAATGTTTGTCATCAGAACTTCGACAATTTCATAAACTCTTAATCCACGGTTAATCCTGAAAACCTTGTTCGCGTCCTCTCCCTCCTTTCTTTTTATATCAAATTGACTAACGAATTCCCTTCAGGAATATTCCTGTACCGCAGCTCCACAAAGGGCGGAACCAGACCCGTGAACCCTGTAGCACAGAAGATAATGGACAGATACAAGAAAGAGGGACAAGTTGCTCCCCAAGGAGAGGACGTCCAGTGGAGGACGTATCTTAGATCAGTGAACGAGGCCGCTCTTTGTCTGCAGGAAGATATCATCGCTAATCCCGTTAGTGTTTGTTCGGAATTTGCAGTTTGGTTTTAGTTTAAATTCGTAGTTTAAGTGGAAGAGTTGGTACGAACCATCACCAAGCAGTTTTAAGAGTTCTCATTTGTGTAATACAGGCCCAATGGCCAAGTAGGCCTGTTTTTGGGTCGAATTTTTCGATAAAATTAATCTCAATGTTGATAGTGTTTACTAGAACTTGGGTACCATGAGTTTTTAAACACTTTGTTTAAACCCTATGTTATAATGATCTTCTCTCGGCAGGTTGACGGTAATATTGGTCTCATATTCGGTATCGGTCACTGTCCCCAACGCGGCGGTCCATTCCAATTCCTCGACACATACGGAGCACAAGCATTTGTTGACAAGATGAGGGGATACCAGGATTCTCTAGGTTTCAGATTCGAGCCGGCTCAGATTGTAATAGATTACGCCAACTCCGGCAAAAAGTTCATGTCTAGTTAATGTGTTACTATCAACTCATTTTTAATTAGGTTAATTTATAATGATGCCATGCTAATTGTACGATATACGTTTAAATGTTGTTTTTTCTAATTCTATTACCATCTACCGCTTACATTTTTGCACAATAATATTCATCAGTTGGTGTCACATTTTACCTCATCAGTTTTATGATAGTTAAGTGAAGAATGTTAGGGCATTTTCAATTTGTTAATCATTGGTTGAGTTATTTATTCAGCTAATAATGTTCCATCAGATTGTGGCTAAACCAACTTTTGCTAGTTGAGATATTGTTTAATTTCAAAATCAAGTTCATCTTGCCACATTTCATGTGTTCTTCAAAGCGAAGACAAAGTCCATTCCATTAAGTTGATGAGTAACTTTGAATTTAACATTTAAGCTGGTCTTGATCATTGATTAACATAATATCTTTGTACGTACTAATATAATACTACTAATATAAGTTCATGATGAGCGAATATTTAAGTGAATTTGACCGAAATGAAGACTGTTACTGTTTAGTTTCTAGCATTTAGTGCCATTACGAGTAAATATCTTCGCTTGCGGGCGATACTACTTATACTAGTAGTAGGCCTTACGGGCAAAAAGTCGACTTATCTGCTACAGGCTTTGCGACAAATCATTGCACAATTTGATACGATTGAAATAGTTCTTTAACTTGCTTGAAGGGATGATGATTAATCACTCGACTGTCAAGTGACTTTTTCAACCTGTCCTCTAGCAGACCCTGAACGGCTGTTCAAAACACTAACGCTCTAACCTGATCCTAACCCTAACAAAAGCATATGCTCTAACCCCAGGCCCAACTTACCTGGGGACCCCAGGCTATTATGTTCATTAACATATAGAGATTAGGCGGAATGACAGGCTGAGCGCGGCCCAGTAAGGCCCAACGAGAAATTATACCAACTCCCTAATATACTATACGGTCATATCAAGTGATCGAGACAGTTTTTTCGCCAGGAGAGCATTTTAACCTTATCTCATGTGGGGTGATTCGGAATCAGCATCCGAAAATATATCGATTCAAGTTGGTTTCAACTTTCGGGGGCCCTTATAGAAAAATCTCCAAGATCGACTGTTGAGTGATTCAGCACGCTCGTGCTTGAAGTTGATTCTGAACTATTTAGATGACCTATCAGCGTGTGTCGATCAAACTTCAACGGGGAGTGTGGAGTGGGGATCCGGGAATCGTTTAAATTACTTTCGAGGCACCTTTACAAAAGCTACTAATACGGTATAAATAATGGTGCTTTTAACGGAGAAATTAAAGACACTCAGTGCTCAGACAGTTACGTTTAATCTGAGCTTCAGTTCACTGAGTGTTATTTTATTTGCATATACTTATACCGGTTTCACTAATTCACTCGCCATGGATTATAGGAAACGCGCGCTATTTTGTTTTCGCATTGGATATAAAGATGACCAATGATATTGCAGTGTTTAAGTCACGTGCGCGTGATATAGCGCGCTGGCGTGTGATTGAGATCAGATACAAACTTTTGTTCCTTCCTCTTTTTCACTGCCTTCTGATAAACCTATCGCCTGCAGTTTGTTGAATATCTCTGTCATCTGTCATTTACCTTAAAGTGATACCCTTATCGTTTGACGGATGTTACTCGTCTAAGTTTCTTCGAAGTAGCGCGCGCCGCTTTCTTCTCGAAACGTTAAGGGCCCGATGGCAAGAGCTACGAAGTAGCGCGCGCCGGGCCAGATCATTAACAATTAACAATGGTCAACCTTATCGTAAGCTTTTTTATGGTTTCAATGTCATGAGAGCTACATGCATCCAACAAAAATGTATGATTTTAGTACTTTTCTATGTGACACTGTTTACTGTTTCGTATTTTGCATTGTCGACCAGGACGAAAACCAATGTAACACCGAGTTGTAAACCTGACTAGAAAGCATAATTAAAGAAAGTACCGCAACCTCGCACGTTAATGTTTAATTTTGAACCTTAAAACTATTGAAAAGTCTAGAATCATTGCAGCATTAAAAACACGTGATAGCGCGCTGGCGAGTGAATTAGTAAAATCCAATTATTTCGTAGGCCTTAAAATGACTCTCCACTTCCAGATCCATTCTTACCCAGGAAATCTTACTGGCTGGCCATGTTACAAGAGGTGATAATTTTTCAATAGCATAATTGTCGTCGCATATTTGTCGTCGCACGTGACATTAAGGTCGTTGCTCGCACGCGTTTTACTTACTGGGCCGCGCTCAGCCTTACTGTCATTCCTGATTCCGCCGAATCTCTATTCGTTAATGAACATGATAGCCTGAGGTCCCCAGGTAAGCGTTTTACTTGATTGACGATGTCAATCCTTCGCATCTCGCCAATCTGCATAAGTGGTTGCGAGAAGCATTTATATTGGATGCGCGCGCGACCCAGTAGTGCATCGCGCTACAAGCGTTTTACAATATGAATTCAGCCAGAGAGTCATGACAACCACATTAATTTGCAAAGTTAGAAAGCTGCGAGCTTTTAAATTCGGCCAAAATCATACTTTTCGGGATAACTCAAAATTTTCAATATAATATCCCTAAGCCTAATTTTCCTCCTCGGGAGAAAACGTTATTTTTATTGTTTATGAGGCGAGCATTTTGCAAAAAACTGGAAGTCTCGGCCATCTCTTTTACTTTCGAAGTTGAGCCCCAGCCAGTAAGGTTTTCTGGCCGTACCCTTAAATTGGACATAACCCACCAGCTGAAGTAACTCTGATACATCGGATTAGAACCTGTTTAACGGGTGATACATATTATATTGGAACAGGACCGTCCACGAGTCCAACTCGGCGCGCGTCCTGGTAGGTTGTAAACCTACAAGTACAACAAAATACCGGTGGAAATTATTTCGTAGGCCCTAAAAAGACTCCTCCAGATCCAGTCCACAGTCTTAACGTAAAAGTTAAAATGGACATAACTCACTAACTGAATTTAATTATTGTCATACGTTTCACCTAACCATGTGCTTTCGCGCCACTTCTGACTTCGGGCGCGCTTGTTTCACAAGTCAGGCCGTTAGGTGGGCGCGCGCTACTGCAAGCGCACGGGCTCTGGATAGAACAAGTCATACGTTCAACGTTGTATGACCCGCCGCGCACGAGTGCGCGGCTCCCCGGCTGTTAAACGGGTGATTCACATAGCCATGTGCCTACGCGTACTGCGTGACGCGCGCTACGGCGGTCGCGCGCTACTGCAAGCGAGAGGGCTCTGGTTAGAGCAAAACGGGTGATACTCGTAAAATATCTGTTCCAACTCGGCGCGCGTCCTGGTAGGTTGTAAACCTACAACCCGGCTGTAATATCGTAGAAACGCTACAGCATACTGTAGAGATTCAGATGGTTGAATTGTGGTCGAGGCATGTGAACACTAGTGACGAGTACTGAATCAATACTTCATAACACCTCTGATTGGTAAATCTGTTGTCATTATCAAAGTACTGGAGTGGCGGGCTTTTACTAAATCGCTCGCCCAAAAATTTCACGTGACTTTGGTTTTTTTGGTTTTGCAGCCGTACAAAACGGTTTTACTTGTAGCGCGATGCACTACTGGGTCGCGCGCGCATCAAATAATGCTTCTCGCAACCACATATGCAGATCGGCGAGATGCGAAGGATTGACATCGTGAATCAACGGTTTTACATAAACCCTAATCCCAACCCTAACCCTAAACATAACCCCGAAGCTATCCATAATCTTAACCAAAACCCTAACCCGAGCCCTAAATAATCGAATTCACGTTTTACTAGCCTGTCACGTCACCAAAACGGTTTTTTGCCCATAACTCTCCAGGGAAGCATTTTAACCCTACGTCAGGGGGTGATTCGGAATCAGCGTCCAAAAATACACCGATCTAAATGACTTTCATGCCTAAAATAATAAAAGGGCCTTTTCACAAGAATTTTCTTAAAATTTGGGCGAGCGATTTAGTAGGAGCTGGAGTGGCGTGGAGCATTAATATTGGTACTTTAAATTAGTCCCGGTGAGAAGGTGTAGCGGGATTTTCCGAACATGGGGAGATGAATCCAAGCGAACTGATACAGAGAATCACTCCCTGATCCTTCCAAAGAGAATTTGTGGTGCCGTGGTGATATTCAAAAACTTGCCGGATCAAATGAATGTCCGGTAGAATATCATATGAAAACTTGTTCCATCCCTACTGAATGCAGCGTGAAGTATGCAGAGATGTAGTGACTGAGCCAGCATTGATACCCCTTGATAATGAAGAAATTGTTGGTACCAATGCTGATAGAGCTGCACCTGATGTATCCTCACGAGGTCTCTGGAGCACATTTGAACGAACATTCTTTGATGTCTGTGTTACCCACCCCAACTCACCCACATATGTCAAAAAAGATATGGAACAGATCTATAAAGCTCATGAAATGAGGAAAATGAAAAAGTACAACAACAGAATCATCCAGGTGGAAAAAGGCACCTTTACCCCACTTATATACTCAACAAATGGCGGATGGGGTCCACAAGCCACAAGATACCACAAGAGACTCGCTGAAAAACTATCCCAGAAGAGAGGAGAAGACTATGCGGCTATTATGTGTTACATGCGCACCAGGATTAGATTCTCAATCCTCAGGAGCACCCTGATAGCGGTCAGGGGTGAGAGAGGGAGACGGCAATCGTATACATTGCCAGTCAGTGTAACTTCGTTTAACTTGATACCTGCCACCATGGACTATGAATGTTTCTAGACACTATCCTTTTGATATTGAGATATTGGTATCTCAGATCACGTGTACATCGTTCCTTTTTTTATGACACAGTAATTTATTGACACTCACAGCTATAATTTTAATCATTGAATCAGTATTTTTATCTATTAACTTATTACATATTTGTGCTCTGCTTTAGCATCACTTGACTATTAAAGTTCAGGCCATGACCTTATAGTCAGCCAATTGGCCATTGCTATATTATGTGTATATTGTTTGAATATTATTGATTAATTCCCTACTGAATGCAAACTGTATTTTAACAATTGTATTGTTAAACCTCAATCTACCATTAGTATGATCAATATATTATCAGAATTCACGTTTCATATTATGAATACATGAATAGTCAAATATAAATCAATTATTTAAAAAAATTAAAATAAAATAATCTAACGAATCGTATACTTTTCATGGCTCGTGAGTTCTAAACAACCTTCTTTACAGATAATCATTAATCATTGCATCGTTAAAACTCACTCATTGTTTATAAACTCACTCATTCATTCAAATCACAATCCATGACAGATCATGACAATATCCGTGTGTCAGCCTATTTTATATACTGTTATCTAACGACATCCCCCCTTAGGTTATTCTATGTAATACAGTTCATTGTAAGTTG